AACCGCTGTGGCTAGGACGGGAGAACGGCAGGAGAAGGCAGGGAAGGCGCCATATGTAAAAGGTGTATTTTTGAGACGTGTCAAAAATACACTTTTTACACGTGGACAAAGGCAGGAGAAGGCAGAGAAGGCAGAGAAGGCAGAGAAGGCAGAGAAGGCAGAGAAGGCAGAGAAGGCAGAGAAGGCAGAGAAGGCAGAGAAGGCAGAGAAGGCAGAGAAGGCAGAAAAGGCAGAGAAGGCAGAGAAGGCAGAGAAGGCAGAAAAGGCAGGAGAAGGCAGAGAAGGCAGAGAAGGCAGGAGAAGGCACCATATGGCGCCTCAAACCACACCAGAGACGCATGTGGTCGTGCCGAGTGCACTGCATATCAACTTTCGAGGATTCTCAAAAACACGCTGCAGCTCCCTTGTTTGAGAGGTGTGCGTTGCCACCCTGTGTTTGAAAAAGTGTTTTGAGACGTCTCAAAACACTTCTTCAAACATGTGTTGTCACTCCGGGCTGCTGTCTTCCCATCCCAGGCAGCAAGCCGAAGGTCTACCCAGGCTGTAACATGCGGTGCGCTTCAAAAAGCCTACTACAATCCCATACACTGCCCCACTGCACACAACCCACTCCACCGCACTATACCAATCCCCACAGAGTGGAAAAAAGGGTGTGTGGGAGAGGATCACCCAGGCCTGAGCACACGGTGAGCTTCAGAGAGGAAGGAGAAATAGTCAGCGCCCATAAGGGAGAGGCAGAATACTGCAATATCAACCGATGAATCTTGTAGTGGGGTCTGGTAGGGGGGCAAGAGGACAAGGGAACAACATGGGACAGCGACACATTGAGTCTTGAAGACATGTCGAAACAGGGAGGGGTAGTCCGGGCCCATGAGGGAGAGGCAGAAGACTGCAATGTGGACTGCGGAGGCTGGTAGGGGGGTCTGGGATGGGGCAAGGGGGGGAGAAGGGAACAACATGGGACAGCCACACATTGAGTCTTGAGACGTGTCGAAACAGGAAGGAGGGGCAGAAGACTGCAATGTGGACTGAGGAGGCTGGTAGAGGGGTCTGGGATGGGGCCACAGAAACAGCATGGCACAGGCACACACATCTGAGAAGATTCAAGCCAGGAAGGAAGGGTAATCCGCACACACGAGGAAGGTAGTCACCCACGAGGGAGAGACGGAATATGCAATGTTGACTGAGGAGACTGGTAGAGGGGTCTGGGATGGGGCCACAGAAACAGCATGGCACAGGCACACACATCTGAGAAGATTCAAGCCAGGAAGGAAGGGTAATCCGCACCCACGAGGAAGGTAGTCACCCACGAGGGAGAGACGGAATATGCAATGTTGACTGAGGAGGCTGGTAGAGGGGTCTGGGATGGGGCCACAGAAACAGCATGGCACAGGCACACACATCTGAGAAGATTCAAGCCAGGAAGGAAGGGTAATCCGCACCCACGAGGAAGGTAGTCACCCACGAGGGAGAGACGGAATATGCAATGTTGACTGAGGAGGCTGGTAGGCGGGTCTGAAACAGGAGCAAGGTGACTTTTGAGTCGACTCAAAAGACTTTTGAGTCGACTCAAGAGACGGAATATGCAATGTTGACTGAGGCGGCTGATAGGTGGGTCTGAAACAGGAGCAAGGTGACGGCATGGGGAGGACATAAGATGGTCACACATAGAAGTTTGAGACGTTTTCAAACAGGAAAGGTGATTAGTGGGCAAGCACGACGAGAGGCAGAAGAGTGCGATGTGGGGTGAAGAGGTTGATAGGCTGGTCTGGGCATGGCGGGCCATGGGGACGATATTGGATAAGCACACGTGTTACAGTCACACACCATGCTCCTATTCAGATGAGCATGGTGTTGCAAGCTGGTTTTTGCAAGCTGGTTTTTGGAAGCTGGTTTTTGCAAGCTGGTTTTTGAGAATTCTCAAAAGCCATGTTGCACTCAATCAAGTGGGGGGAGAAAGCCACCAGGTCTAAGAAGGCCACTCCGACTGGGGCACTGGCTGCTTGCCTTGTTACAGCCACGCCACACCATCCTATAGTCACAAGTGGTGATAGTCATACAGTCACACACACACACCATACTCCTCCATACTCACATGCGCCATGTTGCATGCTATCACTCCAGGAGCAGCAGCCACCAGGTCTAAGGAGACAACGTTGTTGGCCACGCTGGCTGCTAGCTTCACCTCATTACAAGCACACCTTCCAGTCACAAGTGATTATAGTCACTCACTGCGCTCTGTGCCATACTCACATGAGCCATGTTGCATGCGATCACACCAGGAGCAGCAGCCACCAGGTCCAGCGATACCACTTTGTTGGACACAGTGGCTGCTAGCTTGGCTCGTAACTCGTTACAGTCACACATGGTTGGTTTGGTTAAACTCACGCACACACCACACCCCACATGCCCCTACTCACATGCGCCATGTTGCACGCGATCACACCAGGAGCAGCAGCTACCAAGTCTAAGGAGGTCACTTTGTTGGGCACGCTGGCTGCTAGCTTCGCCTCGCCTGCGGATTAGTGGGGGTGCAGTGCATGAATTCAAGCATTCATACATTCATTCATACATTCATTCATACATTCATTAATCGTGGAAATGGAGAGAGAAACTTTGACACCTTTTGAGGCGCCTCAAAAATGCAGAGCATGAATTTAAGCATTCATACATTCATCGATCGTGGATATGGAGAGAAGAACTTTGACACGTTGCAGGAACTGTTGATCCTAAACCCTAAACCCTTTGACACTGTTGATTGACACTGTTGACCCTTTGTTTTCCTATTGCTCAAGCGTTATCTTCAAGTACTGCTGCCCTTCTACTATGAGTCAAGACGAAATGGATGGAGAGAGGAGCTGTGACACGTTGCAGGCCTACAGTTGTTGAAGCGGCTACCTGGTTAAAAGGGACTGCGTTGCAAGTCAACACGAGTCAACTAGGGTCAACAGGCATACCGCAGCCGAAATCAGCGACTGTGAGGGTAGCTGGGCGCTGGCGGATCCAGTCAATGATGACGTGGAGGGGGTTGATTGGCCAGGATGCCACCTGCTCCCGATAGCCCTCGTGGTACTGTTCATGTGTGCGCATGGATTAGTTGGAATACGTGGGGTGAAGTGGGGTGAAATGTATGTGGGGTGAAATGTATGTGGGGTGAAATGTATGTGGGGTGAAATGTATGTGGAGTGAAATGTATGTGGGGTGAAATGTATGTGGTGACACAGCGTTGATTTGCCAGGATGCCACCTGCTCCCAGCAGCCCTCGTGGTACTGTTCATGTGTGTGCATGGATGAGGTGGGATGGGGAGGGGGACGGAATGGGATGGGATGGGATGGGATGGGATGGGATGGGATGGGATGGGATGGGATGGGATGGGATGGGATGGGGTGGGATGGGATGGGATGGCATGGGATGGGGTGGGATGGGATGGGATGGGATGGGATGGGATGGGATGGGATGGGATGGGATGGGATGGGATGGGGTGGGATTGGATGGGATGGTGTGGGATGGGGTGGGATGGGATGGAATGGGATGATGGGATGGGGTGGGATGGGATGGGGTGGGATGGAGTGGGATGGGGTGGGATGGGGTGGGATGGGGTGGGATGGAGTGGGATGGAGTGGGATGGCGTGGAATGGTACTGTTATCTGAACTGAAGACCCTAACATAGGAAACACCTTGTTTCCCAGGCAAGGTCTAGAGCGTCTCGTGGACTTGTCAGCTTATTCATTCAAACCCCTCTCCACCGCTTTCAAACCCCCTGGACTCGTCATCTTTGCACCTTCCGAGATCTTACTTCTCCCCCTGGCGAATGCGTTAGGGTCTTCAGAGACATTTGAAGCGTCCTGTCGCGTCGCCATCTGAAGTGTAAAACGTCTCGTTGACTTGTGAGCCCATTAGTTCATTTCATTCAAACCCCTCTTCACCGCTTCAAACCCCTTCTCGCCCCTTCTCGCCATCTCTGCACTTGGATCTCCCTTCCTCCTGTGCCAACACACCTGTGCAAACGCGTTAGGGTCCTCAGAGAACATGTGAAATGCATGTCATTGACCTGGGACCTCATTCACTTCCCACAATCCCTCTTCACCGCATCCAATCCCTCTCACCGATCATGTTCAGGTCTTTCGAGAACACCTGAAACGAGTTTGGCCCATTCGAGGTGAAGAGCGTGCATGCCATTGACCTGGGGCCTCATTCACTCCTCAGAACCCCTCTTCACCGCATCCAACCCCTCCCACCTGTGCAAACGCGTTTGGGTCTTCAGAAAACATCTGAAACGCTTTGTCTCCATCTGACGTGTAAAGGGCCTCGTTTAGGGATCGGAAGCGACCGCCAGCTAGGCGCGCCTTCATCTGATGTGTCATGATATGATGGGAGGGGATATGATGGGAGGGGAGCGGAGGGGAGGGGAAAAGAATCTCGTAGTCTCGCAAGTCGCCTTGTCTCCATCCAAGGTGGAGAGGTTCTTGTTGAGTGATAGGAAGCGACCACCAGCTAGATGCGCCTTCATTTGAAGTGATACTAAATGATGATGGGTGGGTGGGAGGGATGGAGAAAACAATACGAGTAAAATGCTGCCTTCGATTCCTTGCACAGCATCATGCCCAGCGATCGGAAGTGACTTGTTTCAATTGCCATGTGAGACCAATTTATTTGTAGCCTAACCCCTTCCCCCCACCCCAACCCCTTAACCTCCGTAACCCCTGAACCCTGAACGACCCTACTCCTTCAACCGGAATCCCATACTCCCAGAACCCGCTGTTGACTTGACACCTTGCTGCTGCCTTGTCGAACACCCACCTTGTCTAGCAGGCTCAGCTTCTTGCTGCCGGTGCTGCTGCTGCTGCTGCTGCTCCCTTCTTCCAAACCCCACTCCTAATCCTGCTTTACTGCCACTGTTCCCTGAGATTGAAGAAGTGTTTTGAGACGTCTCAAAACAAATCTTCTTGCTGCCGGTGCTGCTGCTGCTGCTGCTGCTCCCTTCTTCCAAACCCCACTCTTAGTCCTGCTTTGCTGCCACTCCTCCCTCCACCTCCTCCTCCTCCTCCTCCTCCTCCTCCTCCTCCTCCTCCTCCTCCTCCTCCTCCTCCTCCTCCTCCTCCTCCTCCTCCTCCTCCTCCTCCCACTCCCCCCACTCCTCCTGTTCCTTCCACCCCTCTGCCACTACTGCTGCTGCTTCTTGCGTTTTTGGCAGCATTCACACCAGCAACCACACTTGTGCTTTTAGCAGCACTCGCACCAGCACCCTTCCCTGCCGCACCTGCTTTCCCTTTCCTGCGCAGCCCCTTATTTTTGTCGTTTTCTGCAACTTGCGCTGCTGCACCTGTTCCCGTTACCACCTCTCGTAGACTCTGGCCTATCGGGTCTCCCTGACCAGATGTACCTCCCCCGAGTACCCCTAATCGACTTGATTGACTAGCTTGACCTGATTGTAATGCATCTTTCCCAGGAATACCTTTTCCGGCTTGCCCTACTTGTAATGTACCTTCATCAATTAAACCCTGCTTTCGTTTGTACCCGAAACCCTTTACTCGGCTAAACCCTGCGGCCTCGCCCTTACCCCTTTTAGCGGGAGGAAGTGGTACCAACGGCCCAGATTTCATCCCTGTTGCGGAATCTTGTTGCCTGACCGTCGATGTGCATTGGCTCGCTGGGGTGGCTTTTCTCTTCTTCTGCTTGTTCTTGTTTTTCGGCATGGTAGCTTCTACTAGGAACTCCGTATGTAGTATAAAATATTAACTAAGCGTTGCTGTTAAGCCAGCCAGCATCGAGACTAAGCTCCAGGAGGAAAGGTAAAAGCGTGAATTTACACTCTATGCTATTAATGTTAGCGACAATGACACCCGTGTGCGACGTGACCCTAGGTTGCGAAAGAGGTAGGTTGCGAAAGAGGACCTGACGTAACATCGTGAATTAACGCGCAATGTGAAACTAAGGGCATCGGGGCACTGGTCTAACCTCTGGGCAAACCTCTGGTCAACACTGTGCCTAACCTTACAACTAGCACAATTGGTAAGAAATAGGCATGTTTTCGGTTGACCAGAGGTTTGACCATTGGTCTGACCAGAGCCCTGAATGCGCCCTAAAGCGGTGAGAGGAAGTAAGAGGGTGTCTCCATGTGACTGGTCCGCGCGGACCTGGTACGTAGCTTAAATTTGCACCTTGGTCCGAAGTCTGGTCCGACGGAATTCTGGCAGACCAGCCGTGGACCAGAAGCGGACTGGTCTGCTTGATGTGTTGCTACAGTCGCTGCGAATTTCAGTAGTGACGACGAAACAATTATTTACTGAAATTGAGTTACCCTTTTTCATGTGCCCGTTTGAAGCTTTCCGAATAATCTTGTGCGAAAAGCACGAGAGTTAGAGAATTCGCAAAGAGATGTTCGTGAGATTCTTGTTTACGGACCAGGGGCGGACTGGTCCGGCGACCAAATCGAAGGCACCGTTTTAGTGCCATTCGAACGCTATAACGGGAACTCAAGCCCGAACCCTGGTCCAGTCCGTTGCTGGCTCACGCGCTGGTTCTCGAGCTGGTCCGTCGGGTCCGCGTCGGACGTGCTCGTTTGAGACACGTCCTAAGTTGACGGACAGTCAGAAATGTCTGATCTAGCCACCGTGCTGGACCGCATCTCACCGAGTTACGATATTCGCTCATTTGGGGAACACGTGACCAGATGACTCGCTCATTTGCATACATTTCTGTTTGTCTGACTGGCTTGGGACTTCCGGGCGGTACCTGCGGCAAACCAGATGACTGATCGGATCCTCGAACACGCCCTAGACTGAGTTGAAAGCGAACTCGGGAGACAGGACCTTCTGCGGGATCTTGTGATGTTCTTGGGAACTCCGCTTGTCTCAGAGCGGGTCTTGAAAACAGGTTTTTCCAGGTCTGTCCTGATTGGGGTGCGGTGTCAAGTTGGCAATCTCGAGGTTTCACAGCCCGTAATCAACAACTCGCCACCGTAATGCACCCACGCCAGTTTAGCTTTTATCCTACAGAGCCGTGACCAACCCCTTGGAAAATGTGATTCTGCCAGCTGTTGAACATATAGTTTTGCTGATTGTTTTGCAAGTCATCCTGGTACTATGCTTCTGTTGCTGTTTCATTTTCCCATTTCCACTCGTCTGCGACCTTTTTCTGACGAGTACTGTACAACTGGTGATTTCCAACGAGCTCATGCTCGCGCGTTTGCATTGAGGGTAAGTAGCTCGCATTCCATGGCGCGAGAAAATAAAGGTCAAGCAGCACAATCTCGCTACGCAGCGAGCCGCAGTCCTCGGAAACCTGCCTAGGACCTTACCGGATCAGCATTTCAAACATTTTCATACAGACAGCCAGGGTGAATCTGCGGACAACTAGCATAGGCTTTTCATATCTGTTCATTTCGGTTCTGAGGGCTTCAGTAGCTAATAGTAAAGAGGGTAGGGGAAGATGCAGCTGGCGTTGTAATTCGGCTCTGAAAGATTTTCGGCATTGCTCCTGGAAATTTAGATTCACTAGACGACCGGAAGAAAGCTCGGAGGGAGGCGGAGAGAATGCGGAAGAGCAGCGGAGCCCACCGATCAGCGGAACGATCCGCGCAACCCCCGGAGGGAATACGCGACCTTTACGGGGCTCCGCAGTTTGGTAATGCGGCAACGAATTACGGCGGAGAGGAGCAATATTACGATCGTCCGCCACCAATAGGAGCAGAACCAGGAGGGAATGTTGCTCCGCCTCGGCGCTCCCACAGCATCTCCCCGGCCGTGGGGAAGGGGGACATGGCGCGCGGAAACGGGGAGCGCGCGGGGGGGAGCTTGGCGGCGGGTATGGTGATGGGGGAAGTAAAGAACCACACGGGGAGGGTCAAGGATTCGGGTAGGGCTAGAGGCGGTATGGCGGAAGCAGACATGGGTCATGCACGGACAGGTGCGGACATGGTTCAAGGGAGGGTGTATAGAAAAATGGCGACGGAGCGAGAGAGAGGGAAGGAGGCGGAGAGGGTAAGACAGCGTGACCTCGAACGGGGAATTTACCTTGGAGATTTCGACAGATCCGTAACGGAAACCGCAGCTGAGAGGGCGCAATCGGGTGGTTTACCCTGGAATGATGTGGACCGAGCGCATGAGCTGCTGGATAGGCCGCCTACGGGGTCGCTAGGTGTGGAAAGGATGAGACGGAGGGAGAAGGGAGCAGAGGCGAGACGAGAGGCGGAGAGGGAGGGGGGAAGGGGGAGGGCGAAAGATGGGGTTAGGTCAGGGGGTGGGAAAGAGGCGGATGTGATGGGAGGAGGGGGTGATTATAATGAAGGGGGGGATGAACTGTATTTGCGCATGGTGACGTGTGATTCGTCGGTGCGACCAGGGAGGAACAGGGGTGGGTGGGTCCGGGGAGGACGGGGTGAGGGTGGTGGCGAATGGGAGTGTGACACGTCAGCTGGGAGAGAGGAGGAGGAAGCGGCAAGTTGGCAGGAGCAGCAGCAGCAGCAGCAGCAGTTACGGTGCTTCAGCTGCTGCTCACTCTGCCTCCTCTTCTTCTGTCTCTCATTCCTCTGCGGGTTCGCGTAGGGTCCAGCACTGTTCAACAGCAGGGGAGGCAGGAGGCAGGGAGAGGAGGCGAGGGAAGGTAGTGGGAAGCGCAGGGGAGAAACATGGTGGGGGGATGGGTGGTGTTGGGGAGGGAGAGGATGAGGGAATGAGCAGCGATCGGCTGACGAGAATAGCCGCCCAGATGATGGGGTTTGAAGATGGGGAGGACGGGCAGGTCAGGCAGGACGGGCAGGACGGGCAGGAAAGGTTTTTTCAGGAACCAAGGCAGGAGGAGCTGATTGGTCCATCCGCCCTGCTGCTGCCGAGCCACAGCTCCTCCCGACCCTCTTCCATCCGCAAGGCACACTCAGCCTCGGCCAAGCCTGCCAGATCCGGAGGCTCGGGGGAAGGAGCACCTGGTGACGGTCCACATGTTGAGGAGCTGCTTCAGCTGGGGCTGAACGATCCGCTGCTAAGGGACTGGGCTGCTCGATTCAAAGCAGGACAGACAGACAGGCGAGAGCTACAAGCACTGCTTCTGGAGCTTCAGGAAAAGCAGAGGTTGCAAAGGGTGGGGGAAGGAGCAAGGGGGAGGGGAGAGGAAAGGATGGGAGGGTATGCAATGGGGGAAGATGAGGCAGAGGGAATGGCCGAATCTGTTGCAACAGGTGCCGCTGGTTCGGGATTAGGGTTAGGGTTTATGGGGGGGTCAAGGCCTAGGTCTTCCTCTCGCAGGCTTGCCAGTAGCAGTGGAGTCCGAAACAGGCCAGCTTCGTCGTCGTACCACAACCGAACCCAGCGGGCTGGCCACGCCAGGTTCGGCAGCAGCATAGGCTTGGGAACAGGCCTGGGTGGGTTAGCGTCTGGGGCAGGTTCGGGAGCTGCAGGCTCGGGAGACCCCTTGGAGGGGTCTGGTTCGGAGGGTGGATCGGACGCGGAGGATTTTCTGATGTCAGTTCCCCCTTCGGCTCTAGACGTTCTGCAGGGCAGCGGGCAGGCGAAAAAGAAACCTCCGGCCGGAAATTGGAAGAGCCCTCTTTCGGGAGCAACACCAGGAGAGTCCCCAACCTCATCTGGCGTTCCCTCTGCACGATCTGGGCCGTTGATCTCATCAGGATCTGTCCCATCAAGATCCCGAGGGACATCTGCAGCGTCGATTTTAAGGCATGGAAGCTGGGAGCAGAGGGAGTTTGCCCAGCTGGCAGAGCAATTCGGACTGGCAGCAGAAGAGGAGGGGATAGGCGGGTTGGTGGAGGGTGGAAGGCAAGGAGGCGCAACTGGTGGGGGGGGACCTGGGGCAGGTTTATCTGGCGCGGATGGGAAGTGGATGGGGAGGAGCAGCTCAGTTCCTGAGGCAGGCAAGACTGGAGGCTCGTGGGGGAGCCCTGGGGGAGTGGGAGGGGCGGGTCGAGCAGGATTGGGAGGAGGGGAAGGAGTGGAAGGAGGGGGAGACACAGAGGATAAGGTACGAGGGAGAGAAGCAAAGGGAGTGGCGGAGCCAATGGCTACTGCTGCTACAGGCATGGCTGCTGCTGCTACAGCTGCCACATCTGCTGGTAGTGGTGGTGGTGGGGGTGGGGGTGGGGGTGGGGGTGGGGGTGGGGGTGGGGGGAGGCGGAGTGGTGGTGATTTGTATGGGGGATGGGTTGGAGGAAATCAGGCAGGAGGATTGGCAGATCTGTATGGCAGTGATGGGATGGCTGCTGCTTCCCATTTAGCAGGCTCCGCTGCTACTGCTACAGCTGCTTCTGCTACAGCTGCTACTGATACAGCCGCAGCAACCAGTGTAGGCACGGCTTCTGCCCCTGCTGCTGCTGTTGCTGCTGCTGCTCACACTGGTGATCTCTATGCAGCAGTCTCACCACCACCACAAGCATTCCCACCTCCACCGCACCTACCTCCTCCACACCCATCCGCACCACTCCCACCAGCATCCTCCCTCTCTAGAAAACCCCCCCAGCCAAGGCTCCCCCGCGCGTTCTCTGCGGACACAGCAGACGCCCCTCCCCCCCGCTCCTCCAGCGCAGGAGAGGGCGAGAGACTGGGAACAATAGAGGGACCGAGCGAGAGAGAAAGAAACGGAGAGGGAGAGGGAGCGGGAGAGCTAGGGGAGGGAGAGGAGGAGATGCTGTCCTTAGAGAGGAATCTGAGCCTTCCGTCGCCGAAGCCGGTTCCGCAGGTGGAGGAGGCATCGTTTGATCGCAATTTGTCGCTGCACAATGTGATTAAAAAGAGAATCAGCAGCCATGCCGGGGAGGTGGGGCAGCAGTTTGCTCGCCTCTCCACGCTCCTCAAGAAGTCGTGTGAGTGCTTCCATTCGCCCTCCTTACCAGTTGCCTTTTTTTTTCTCCCATCAAATGGTCTGTGAGTGCTTCCGTTCGCCTTCCTTACAAGTTGCCTTTCTCCAGGTTTTTTTTGAGAATTCTCAAATGGTCTCCCAACCAGCCTGTCGCTGCACAGTGTGATCAAGAAGCGGATCAGCAGCCACGCCGGGGAGGTAGGGTAGCGCAGCAGTTTGCTCGCCTTTCCAATCTCCTTAAGAAGTCATGTGATGTGAGTGCTGCTGCTGCTGCTCTCTCCCCCAACAAGTTGCCTCCTCTCTCAACCAACCAACCTGTGATAAAGAAGAGGACTAGGTTGCCCCGTTCCCCCATCCCCCACCACCGCCAGTTTGCTTTGCTCGCCTCTCCACTCTCCTCAACTAGTTGTGTGAGTGGCTATATTGAAATCACTTTTGAGAATTCTCAAAAGTGATTTCAATACAACTAGTTGTGTGAGCGCTGCCCCTCTGTTTCTAAATGTACACCAATGCACCCCCAATGGACCCCTGCCTGGTTCCCTTGCACGCCATCGTCCATCCACCCCCAATGCACCCCCAATCCTGTTCGTTGTCTCCTCTCCTCTCCTCTCCTCCCTCTCCCTGTCTGCCCGGACATCCCTTCCCTGCCCTGCCCTGCTTGCTCGCTTGGTTTGCAGCATCCACAACCACAACCAACCAACGCACGGAGCAGCAGCAGGAGATGATTTGTCAGTCTCCCATGAGCAAAAACATTCTCCTCATCAACCTCCTCTCATTTCTCTCTTTCTTGCTCTTCGCAGCGTCCACACCCAACGCACCTGGCAGTGCAGGCAGTGGGGCATCATCCGGGGGGAAACGGCCGGCGCAGGAAGGGAAGAAGCCGCCCAAGCCAGCCAAGAGCGGATCGGACAGGCCGTCCAGTGGCAACCCGCTAGCCAGGTGTGTAATGGAGGTGGCTTATGAGTCGAAACTCACTAGCTACCACGGGGAAGGGGAAGAATCTGCCCATGCCAACCAAGAGTGGATCTGACAGGCCGTCCAGTGGCAACCCATTTGCCAGGTGTGTAATAGATGACTTACGATATGAGTTGCCTCTAGAGTCACTCACCCTGGCGCAGGAAGGGAAGAAGTGAAGGGAAATGAAGGGAAGAAGCTGCCCAAGCCAGCCAAGAGTGGATCTGTCAGGCCGTCCAGTGGCAACCCATTTGCCAGGTGTGTAATAGATGACTTACGATATGAGTTGCCTCTAGAGTCACTCACCCTGGCGCAGGAAGGGAAGAAGTGAAGGGAAATGAAGGGAAGAAGCCGCCCAAGCCAGCCAAGAGTGGATCTGACAGGCCGTCCAGTGGCAACCCATTTGCCAGGTGTGTAATAGATGACTTACAATATGAGTTGCCTCTAGAGTCACTCACCCTGGCGCAGGAAGGGAAGAAGTGAAGGGAAATGAAGGGAAGAAGCCGCCCAAGCCAGCCAAGAGTGGATCTGACAGGCCGTCCAGTGGCAACCCATTTGCCAGGTGTGTAATAGATGACTTACGATATGAGTTGCCTCTAGAGTCACTCACCCTGGCGCAGGAAGGGAAGAAGTGAAGGGAAATGAAGGGAAGAAGCCGCCCAAGCCAGCCAAGAGTGGATCTGACAGGCCGTCCAGTGGCAACCTGCTTGCCAGGTGCTTGTTTTCTTTTCACAGCACCCACACCAACGCTCCTGCCAGTGTAGGCAGTGGGGGAAGTGGAGCAGCAGCAGGGGGGGCAAGTGCTAGAAGGGAAGACACCACCCTAGCCAGCCAAGAGTGGAGCAGACAGGCCGTCGAGTAGCAACCCGCTTGCCAGGTGCGGTTTGTTGGTGACTTGTGATGTGAGTCGAGAGACTCAATAGTCACTCTGGTGCAGGAACGAAGGAAGAAATCACGTAAGCCAGCCAAGAGTGGAGCAGACAGGCGTCGAGTGGCGACCCGCCGCTTGCCAGGTGCGTGTGTTCTCTTCTTAGGACACATCCGTGGGTTGCCATACACCCAACGCTTCTGCCAGTGTCGTGTAGGCAGAGGAGGCAGTGGAGCAGCAGCAGGGGGCAAGCACAGGAAGGGAAGAATCCGCCCAAGCCAGCCAAGAGCGCAGCAGACAGGCCGTCGAGTGGCAATCCACTTGCCAGGTGCGTGTGTTCTCCTCTCAGCATCTGTCCAACCCCAATGCACCTGGAATTGGTGGCAGTGGGGCATCCTCAGCAGAAAAGCGGCCGGCACAGAAAGGGAAGAAACCACCCAAGCCAGCCAAGAGTGGAGCAGACAGACCTTCCAGTGGCATTTCACTCGCCAGGTGGGGTTTGATTTGCTTGTTTAGTTGGTTTTCTCATCCCCCTCAGAACATCATTCATGGCAGTCGAATTCGGCAATTCTCCAAGGCAAGGACTTCCCGGCAACCCCCCCAATTCCCTCCATCCCTTCCCGTTTTCCCTCGGCCTCAACCCTCTTGTTCGTTCCCTTCATAACATCATCCATGGCAGCAGAGTTGGCGATTTACCAGCACCCAAGACAGTCCATATTCGAAAGCTTTAAGCTTTGCCCCCAAATCTACTCAAGAGCTTTGCCCCCAAACCTACCCAAGAGCTTTGCCCCCGAACCTACCCAAGAGCTTTGGCCCCAAACCTACCCAAGAGCTTTTCCCCCAAACCTTCCCATTCCCCCCATCCCTCTTGTTCGTTCCCGTCAGAACATCATCCATGGCAGCAGAGTTTGGCGATTTACCAGCACCCAAGAGAACTCACTATCAGTATTCTGAACTACAGGTATTCTGTATGCGCGTGGTATGAATATTCGCTACCTGCTAGAAACAAAATTCGTAATTGTTGCAGCTAACACTATCAGTGCGCCGAATTATATGTATGACGTGTGAGGTGACTTTTGAGTCGACTCAAAAGGCACCTCACAAACACAACTTTAAGTAGTGTAGCAGCTAACACTATCAGTGCGCCGTTATATGTATAACGTGTACGCGAGGTATGAGTAGCTGCTACGTGCTAACATCACAAGTAATTTTCCCAAATCGTAGCAGTTAAAGCCTATCAGTACTCTGATCTGAAGTACAGGTACACTGCACACATGTGGAATGAGTCATTTCTACATGTTGAAAGTGTGTTTTATATATATTTATACATATATATATATATTTTACGTGCGGAGCAGTGCTGTGCATGCAGGATTTCTATCAATATCCCCTCACCCGATTCTCCATTCCCATCCGTCCTCCCTCGTCCAATCTCCTGCTGCAGCTGGCGACCGAGAATTTCAACGAGGCCAATGTGTTGGGGCAGGGAGGGTTTGGAAAGGTGTACTATGGCGTGTTGCCGGTGCACCCCGCTCAGGTGAGAAACTAGATGTTTCTGGATGGATACAGTATTGTGCTGCTATGGGGTGGGGCGGGGAGGGTTTGGGAAGGTCTACTGTGGCGTGCTGCCCGTGTACCCCGCTCAGGTGAGAAACTAGATGTTTCTGGATGGATACAGTATCGTGCTGCTATGGGGTGGGGCAGGGAGGGTTTGGGAAGGTCTACTGTGGCTTGCTGCCCGTGCACCCCGCTCAGGTGAGAAACTAGATGTTTCTGGATGGATACAGTATCGTGCTGCTATGGGGTGGGGCAGGGAGGGTTTGGGAAGGTCTACTGTGGCTTGCTGCCCGTGCACCCCGCTCAGGTGAGAAACTAGATGTTTCTGGATGGATACAGTGTCGTGCTGCTATGGGGTGGGGCAGGGAGGGTTTGGGAAGGTCTACTGTGGCGTGCTGCCCGTGTACCCCGCTCAGGTGAGAACTCAGATGTTCCTGCTGTGGGGCAGGGCGAGTTCGGGAAGGTGTATTATGTTGTGCTGCCAGTGCACCCTGCTCAAGTGAGAACTCAGATGTTTCTGGAGATACTGTACTGCTCAGGTGAGAAATCAGATGCACATTGGGCCGTTCAGGTGAGGAATCAGATACTTCTTCTGGGTACGCTCTCACAAGTCGTATCAAGTGCCGCGCATATAAATTTTTTTCTGCAAAAGGCGAGTTCCAACCAGCTGTTTATTGTCAACTTGAGAATGTCAAGTCAGCCACCACATACCCTCGCTTTTTGAGTCGACTAAAAAATCGTCTCATCACACGCAGAAGGCAAGTTCCAACCAGCTGTTCATTCATTGTCAACTTGAGAATGTCAATTCAGCCACCACATACCCTCGCTTTTGAGTCGACTCAAAAGCCGCGCGTATGAAATTCGTACTGCAAAAGGCGAGTTCCAACCAGCTGTTCATTCACTGTCAACTTGAGAATGTCAAGTCAGCCACCACATACCCTCGCCTCGCCCATCAAGAAGCCCTAGCACTCTATAGTGCCACAGTTTTTCATTTTTGTGAATTCTCAATAAGTTTTCATTTGAATGAGTTTCTCTTTCGACCCCTGTGTGTATGTAGGAACCTCGTGTTAAGCCTCTTAACCGCAAAGCAAACCTCCTTTTGTCTCACCAACTGGTGGTTGTGGCGAAGCAAACCCCCCTTCCTCTCACCATCAGGTGGTGGCAGTGAAGGTGCTATAGCAAGGCGGAGTTTCACCACCAGCAGGGCGACGAGGAGCTTGCCTCCAGACTCGTGTGTGTGTGTGTGTGAAGGGACATTAAACCCCAAACCCTCAACCCTGTATAGTACTATGCCCTCTATACTGCAAAACTCCCTTCTATTCACCATCAGGTGGTGGCAGTGAAGGTGCTGAAGCAAGGAGGAGGGGGCGACGGAAAGATTGCCTGTATGTACACCCTTGTGTGTGTGGGGTGGGGGGGACCCAAACCCCGAAACCATGTAAAGTATTTTGCTCTCTATACCGCAAATAGCCCACCTTTCTCTCACCATCAGGTGGTGGCAGTGAAGACGCTATAGCAAGGCGGAGGGGAACAGGGTGACGAGGAGTTTGTCTCTAAACCAACTCGGAAAACGCATGGAGGAATAAACCTCCTGGTGTCAGCTAAACCGACCAATCCCATCGCGGAAAATCGTGCAAGGTGCCCAACATTGACACCAACCTGGAGCCGCACTCACGCGCGGCTCCACCCGGTGGCAAGCGAATTTCCCGCTTGCCACCTACAGTATCTTACCACCAGCCTGGGATACGACCTTATATTGTGTCTGCCCTCCCAAACAGGATACAAACCCCCCCTCCCTCCCTTTCAACATCAGGTTGTGGCAGTGAAGGTGCTGAAGCAAGGAGGGGGAGAGCAAGGCGATGAGGAGTTTGTGACAGAGCTGGAGCTGCTGAGTCGCCTGGAGCACAAGCACCTGGTGAGTGAGTGGGGCTGGTGCCAGGAAGATAGGAATATGCAGGGATAATTAGAGGGGAGAGAGCAAGGAGGGGGAGAGCAAGGCGATGAGGAGTTTGTGACAGAGCTGGAGCTGCTGAGTCGCCTGGAGCACAAGCACCTGGTGAGTGAGTGGGGCTGGTGCCAGGAAGATAGGAATATGCAGGGATAATTAGAGGGGAGAGAGCAAGGAGGGGGAGAGCAAGGCGATGAGGAGTTTGTGACAGAGCTGGAGCTGCTGAGTCGCCTGGAGCACAAGCACCTGGTGAGTGAGTGGGGCTGGTGCCAGGAAGATAGGAATATGCAGGGATAATTAGAGGGGAGAGAGCAAGGAGGGGGAGAGCAAGGCGATGAGGAGTTTGTGACAGAGCTGGAGCTGCTGAGTCGCCTGGAGCACAAGCACCTGGTGAGTGAGAAGGTGTGTTTGAGTGAGGGGGAGGGAGAGTGAGGTGCGTAGTGGAATTGGGGGCAGGTGTTGGCACGGAGCACAAGCACCCACCTGGTGCGTGAGTGAGAGGTGGAATGAGATTCGGTTTTGAGGCGCCTCAAAAACGACCTCATGGAGCACAAGCACCTGGTGAGTGAGTGAGAGGTGGAATGAGATTCCAACTTGGTGAATTTTCCAACTTGAATGGAGCCTGGTCTTTGAGACGTGAGCAACAGCATCTAGGGAGATGGATACATGGTGAGTCTGCCTGCGCGATTCTTTTGCGCAGGAAAAGGAACAAAAGTTGCTGGTCAATCCATGCGAGAGGGGCAGTGCAGTTGCCCCTTGATTTTTTCCCCAAGCAGATTCGTTGTTTCCCTTCATCTCCCTGCAAGCGAAGCTGATGGGATACTGCATGCGGCGGAAAGCGATTGGTTCAACAGTTTGTTATCTTTTCTCACTCTTATTTTTTTTTTAAGCCCGTCTGTCGCTCTTCCCCTTCCTCCAAGTGCAGGTGAAGCTGATGGGGTACTGCATGCGCAAGAACCAACGGCTGCTAGTATACGAGTTCCTGCCCAACGGCAGTCTTGCCGACCACTTGCACGGTGCGTGCGTGCGTGTGTGTGTTGCTTCTGGTTGGACAGCTGTTGTGCTGCTGTGCTGTGCTGTGTAGCTATTATGCTGGGCTGCTAGTGTACGAGTTCCTGTCCAATGGGAGCCTCCCTGGCCGCTTGCACGGTACAGTGTCTGTCACTGGTGGTTGGTAGCTGTGTTGCTGTGCTGCTGTGTGACAGTGCTGCTTGCTATAATGCTCTGCTGCTATGCTGCTGTTATGCTAGTACGCTATGCTGGTAGTGTATCAGGTCCTGCTACTACTCCATATTATATCCACCCCTTTTTGTTTTCCTTTTTCTCCTCCACAAGGCCGTAAGGTCAGGCAGAAGAACGGCTTGCTGTCGCTGGGATCAGCTAGTGAAATTAGCCGCTGGACAATGAAATTCAAACCGTTTTTTGTGTTATGATCCGTCTGTCCCTCTGTTCCTTTCTCTCCACCAGGCCGCAAGGTCAGGGAGAATGGGCCCTTGCCATGGGAGAGGCAGCTGAAGACAACCGCTGGGTCATGTAGAAGGAAAAGAAAATCCTTCCCCCCCCTCTGTTTCCTTTCTTTCCACCAGGCAAAAAGGTCAGGCAAAACGGGCCTCTGTCGTGGGAGAAGCGGCTGAAGATTGCCGTTGGATCGGCGAGAGGGTTGAGGTACCTGCACTCTCAGCGGCCACAGGTGCTGCACCGAGACGTGAAAGCTCCCAACATTCTCATCACTGACAGCTACGTGGCCAAGGTATGCCATGCCAAGGTGTGTATGGCTGGTGTCTTGGATGAGATGTTTGTCAAGTATGGCTTTCTTGCTGTGGGATCGGCGAGGGGGTTGAGGTACCTGCCCTCTCAACGGCCACAAGTGCTGCACCGAGACGTGAAGGCGCCCAACATTCTCATCACTGACAGCTACGTGGCAAAGGTGTGCGAGGGAAGGAAACTAGCACTCAATTCTGACTTGCTCAGTTGTATTATACTAGTAGAGGGCTTGATAAGGATGAGCTCTTGTATCAAGATGTGAATTCTCCCAACATTCTCATCACTGACAGCTACGTGGCCAAGGTGTGCGAGGGAGATAGCTGCTGGAATGTATTGTACTGTAGAGCGATGGGTCGAGGTACCTGCCCTGCACTCTCAACGTCCACATGTGCTGCACCGAGATGTGAAGTTGCCCAACATGCTCATCTCTGACAATTATGTAGCTAAGGTGTGCATGGCTGGTAGTGGCGTACTGGTATGTGAGATGTTCCCAAGGGAATGGAATGGATGGTGTGTGAGGCTTGCTGCTGCGCCGGCGAGGAGGTTGCTGTTAGATTGTCTCGTTCCCGTCTCTCTCGTTCACGCATGCAATATTGAAATCACTTTTGAGAATTCTCAAAAGTTGTTCCCATCTCTCCGTTCAGGCATGCACGGCCACACTCTCCCATCCCTCCAGGTGGCGGACTTTGGGTGTGCGAAGCTGATCAAGCAGACCATCTTAGTAGAGGACCCCAACACGGGCGAGATGGTGGAGTGAAGACACGCCCACCAGCTCCTATCCCGCTCTTACACACACACATGCACACACCACTTCCCCTCCCTTCACCCCCTCTCCCTCTAGGTGGCGGACTTTGGTTGTGCGAAGCTGATCAAGCAGACGATTCTCGTAGAGGACCACAACACGGGGGGAGATGGAGGAGTGGAGTGGAGACACCGCCACCAGCCCCTATCCCTCCTTTCTACACGCATAAACCACATCCCCTCCCTGTCCTCCCCTCCCTCCAGGTGGCGGATTTCGGGTGTGTGAAGCTGATCAAGCAGACCATCTTAGTAGAGGACCCCAACACGGGCGAGATGGTGGAGACGCTGGGAAAGAACCAACCACCACCAACTCCTATGTCCCTCTCGCGCCCCCTCGTGCACATGTGGTATGCCTTCAGGTGGCAGATTTCGGGTGTGCGAAGCTGATCAAGCAGACGACTTTAGCAGAGGACCCCAACACGGGCAAGATGGTGGAGACGCTGGGAAAGGACCGCCACTATACCCCACCCACCCATCCCATTCCCCACCTTTCCAGGTGGCGGATTTCGGGTGTGCGAAGCTGATCAAGCAGACGATCCTAGTAGAGGACCCCAACACGGGCGAGATGGTGGAGACGCTGGGGGAGAACGTGGATGTGGCGATGGGCACGCACGGCCATATGGCTCCTGAGATTCTCATGACTGGGGAGATCAGCGCTGCTACTGACGTGTACAGGTGAGATTTGATGCACCCATGTCCAGGACAGCCCAAGAAGCGAGATGGTGGAGACGTTGGGGGAGAGATGGTGGAGACGTTGGGGGAGAACGTGGATGTAGCAATGGGCACACACGGGCACATGGCCCCTGAGATTCTCATGACTGGGGAGATCAGCGCTGCTACGGATGTGCAAAGGTAGGTGTAAAACTTAGTTTTTCTCTAAAGGGGACAAGACAACCACGAAAGGGAGATGGTGGAGACGCTGGGGGAGAACGTGGACGTGGCGACGGGGACACATGCTGTGCGACGGGGACACACGGCCACATGGCTCTTGAGTCGACTCAAAAGTCACGGCCACATGGCTCCTGAAATATTGATGATGGGGGAAATCAGTGCTGCGACCGATGTGTATTGGTATGGAGGGGGGTGCTTGTGGACGGGGATGCTTATAACGGGGACGGGCAGGACAGCCCTTGAAGGGAGGAAGATGAGGGAGACGTTGGGGAAGAATGTGAAATGGCTCTCCTCCCCACAGACCCTTTGTAACAGCCACGTCCTCCCCCCACATTTTCTCAGCTTCTCAGTGGTCTAGTTTTGAGGCGCCTCAAAACTGAAATCGCTCTTGAGAATTCTCAACATTTTCAAGAGCGATTCTCAAAAACGATTCTCAAAAGCGATTCTCAAAAACGATTTCAACACACCCTGTGTAATGGCCACGTCCTCCCCCCACATTTTCTCAGCTTCTCAGTGGTTTTTTCTGCTGATCTTTACAGCCCATTGGCCCGCCATCATCGCCTGTTTGGAATGACATGCGTGCCCCATTCACTCCCTCTCTCCCTCGCTCCCTCACTCCCTCTCTCCCTCGCCCCTTTCCCAGCTTCAGAGTGGTGCTGCTGGAAATTTTGAGCGGCAGGGTGCCAGTATTTGAAGATAAGAAGTGGTGATGCGGCCGACCATCTCACACACCCCGTTGGCTCACCTTCATCAACACCCACCCACTCCCCACCACACTCACTTGTGATGCCATGCATGTCCCACTTCCTCTCTCCCTCGCCCCTTTCCCAGCTTCAGAGTGGTGCTGCTGGAAATACTGAGTGGCAGAGTGCCGGTGTTTGAAGACGGCACGCTGCTCAAACACAACCCCCTACCCCCCACCTCCCTCCCCTCCCCTCCCCTCCCCTCCCCTCCCCTCCCCTCCCCTCCATCTCAGCTTCGGAGTGGTGCTGCTGGAAATACTGAGCGGCAGAGTGCCCGTGTTTGAAGACGGCACGCTGCTCACACACTGGGTGAGTGCGGGAATCGTTGGTGGTTGTTGTGTGGTCACATGGCGTAGGGGTAGCGGTGGTTGTTGCTGGAGTAAACTTTACTTTTGAGGCGCCTCAAAAGACATGGCGTATGGATAGCAGTGGTTGTTGCTGAAGGTGCTGAAGGTTTTTGAGTCGACTGAAAGGTCACCTTGCGTGAAAGCATAGTAACTATTTCCTGCCGCACTCTACCCATGGATTGGGAGACACCAGACATAGAGTCACTGCAACTTGCACCCTTTCCCCTGCTCCTTTGCCCCACACACTTTTCAGGCCGCACCATTCCTGAAGGGAAAGATTCGGGATGCCCTGATAGTTCCTTCCATTCTTGCTGCTTCGCTCCCCCTCTACCTCCTTCTCCTTCCCCCCCTCTACCTCCTTCTCCAACCCCTTCCCGCCCACCCCTCTTTCACAATTTTCAGGCCACACCATTTTTGAAGGATAAGAAATGGGATGAGCTTATTGACCCTTCCATGCTTGCCGGTCACACACCGGAAGGGGGAGGGGAAGGAGCAGTGCCAGCTGGCGCCGGCGTCAGTGCCGAAGCTGACGTGGCGCTGCCCAGGGTGGCTGCCACGTCAGCGTTTGCTCGGTGCGCTGAGCTGGCGGAGTCGTGCATTCAGTTCGACCCGCTGATGCGGCCGAGCATGGAGGACGTGGCACACACCCTGCAGGCGATCCAATTGGGTACGTGTCATTCGATCCATTAAGTATTGCATCTTGAGGACACAGAGATATGAGAAACACATGGATACTGTAGCTTATGGTCCTGTTTAGGTGCATGCGGCTGTCTGATCCGGCGGAGCATGGAGGACGCGGCACACACCCTGCAGGCGATCCAATTAGGTATGCTGGTGAGGGAAGTGGATTGCCTGAGGTATCTTGAGGCAATGCCAGAGTGCATGCTGACTAGTGTGTACCTATGATGCGGCCTAGCATAGCATGGAGGACGTGTTTTGAGACGCCTCAAAACATGACTAGTGTGTACCTATGATGCGGCCTAGCATAGCATGGAGGACGTGTTTTGAGACGCCTCAAAACATGACTAGTGTGTACCTATGATGCGGCCTAGCATAGCATGGAGGACGTGTTTTGAGACGCCTCAAAACACGACTAGTGTGTACCTATGATGCGGCCTAGCATAGCATGGAGGGCGTGTTTTGAGACGCCTCAAAACACGACTAGTGTGTACCTATGATGCGGCCTAGCATAGCATGGAGGACGTGTTTTGAGACGTCTCAAAACACGACTAGTGTGTACCTATGATGCGGCCTAGCATAGCATGGAGGGCGTGTTTTGAGACGCCTCAAAACACGACTAGTGTGTACCTATGATGCGGCCTAGCATAGCATGGAGGACGTGTTTTGAGACGTCTCAAATCACGACTAGTGTGTACCTATGATGCGGCCTAGCATAGCATGGAGGACGTGTTTTGAGACGTCTCAAAACACGACTAGTGTGTGTACCTATGATGCGGCCTAGCATAGCATGGAGGACGTGTTTTGAGACGTCTCAAAACACGACTAGTGTGTACCTATGATGCGGCCTAGCATAGCATGGAGGACGTGTTTTGAGACGTCTCAAAACACGACTAGTGTGTACCTATGATGCGGCCTAGCATAGCATGGAGGACGTGTTTTGAGACGTCTCAAAACACGACTAGTGTGTACCTATGATGCGGCCTAGCATAGCATGGAGGACGTGTTTTGAGACGTCTCAAAACACGACTAGTGTGTACCTATGATGCGGCCTAGCATAGCATGGAGGACGTGTTTTGAGACGTCTTAAAACACGACTAGTGTGTGTACCTATGATGCGGCCTAGCATAGCATGGAGGACATGTTTTGAGACGTCTCAAAACACGACTAGTGTGTACCTATGATGCGGCCTAGCATAGCATGGAGGACGTGTTTTGAGACGTCTCAAAACACGACTATTGTGTACCTATGATGCGGCCTAGCATAGCATGGAGGACGTGTTTTGAGACGTCTCAAAACACGACTAGTGTGTGTACCTATGATGCGGCCTAGCATAGCATGGAGGACGTGTTTTGCGACGTCTCAAAACACGACTAGTGTGTACCTATGATGCGACCTAGTATAGCATGGAGGACGTGTTTTGAGACGTCTCAAAACACGACTATTGTGTACCTATGATGCGGCCTAGCATAGCATGGAGGACGCGGCACACACCCTGCAGGCGATCCAATTAGGTACATGTTGAGCTATCCATTTTGGCATGTGTTTGCCAATCCATTTAAGTACGTACTGGGTTCATGGCATGTGGTATTCTTCCTTCGTTCACCACATCAGTTAAGTAAATTCTTTCCTTTATTTTTCAAATCTTCCAAGCACGGCAATAGCAATGGTAGAGAGTGTCTCACAACTTTCTTTCACCTCTGTTGTCTTCCCACCTTTTTCCGCAGATAAGGAAAACCCCTCCCTATTCTCTCAGCCAATCAGACGCAGCGGCAGCAGCAGCAGCAGCACCAACCCTTCGTCCGTCCCAGTAGCAACAGACAGCAGCAGTTTAATCGATAGTGTTGTCAGTGGTATCAGCAGCAGCGGCAGTGTCGGCAGCATCGGTAGCAGCGGTAGCATCGGCGGCAGCAGCGCACGACCTCCTTCCTCCTCCTCCCGTGCCCGACCCTCCTCCTCCCACTCCCAGCCTGCCTCCCGAAGCTCGTCAGGTTCGGACGAGGTTCGGATTGTTCGAAGAAACTCACAGGAAGGTGCGGGGATTGAAAGAGGAGCGAGCGGTGCAGATGGGTGGGATGAAATGATGGAGGCAGACAAAGCAGGGAGAGAGGGGAGAGAAGGGAGAGAAGGAAGAGAGGGGAGAGAGGGGAGAGAGGGGAGAGAGGGGAGAGAGGGGAGAGAGGGGAGAGAGGGGAGAGAGGGAAGAGAAGGGAGAGAGGGAAGAGAAGGGAGAGAGGGGAGAGAGGGGAGAGAGGGGAGAGAGGGGAGAGAGGGGAGAGAGGGGAGAGAGGGGAGAGAAGGGAAAGGACAGCGGGAGAAAGGAGAGGTGAGGGACAGAGAAACGGGGGGGAAGACAGACAGAGGGGCGAAAAGGGAGAAAGGGGAGAGGCGGAAGGAGAAGGATAAGAGCAGAAGCGGACCAATGGCTCTGGAAGGAAATAGAGTACCCCACTAGTTGACTGTTGAGTTGACTAGAAAGTCAACTTGGGGGGGGGGGAGGAGAAGGCAGAAGCGAATTAAGGGCTCTGGTCTGGAGGGAAGCGGAATACCCCACTAGGCCTTCGCAAGGCGGAAGATTGTGGTACCCTACTTGGTTCACCGAATCTGGACAGAATGGCCAGTGTTACGGCACAAGTTGCAAACGCTTGATTTACAGACGATGGACACAAAAGGTAGCACATTCATTCAATATGGGCAAACTACTAAGTGTGGTAGGTTGGAGCGAGCAGGATGACATGTGATCATATCACAGGTGGATGAGAGAAGAACCCAACCAATCTTTCACATGCATGTATGCCCAATTGCCGCAATGGCAATATCAGTACAGTAGATGCATTATGGCGCAAGATTATGCCTTGGCAAATGCAAGTTCGGCAGTGGCATGGTGACCGGATGAAAACATGTCACCAGCACGGTATAGGAGCCCGGAGCTTGTACAGCTCCATTCCATTTGAACATATGGTATAAGTAATCCCTATCAAACAAAAAACGGATAGCACTATTTTACCCCATGCGTTGTGGCGGTAAGATGAAGTTTTTACCCTCAGTATTTCCTAATCACCAAGGCAGATCTCAATCAGGCCAACGCCAGCGCCTGTGCTTCATCTGGGCCCACAATTGTTGTGTCTTAAGAGGTGAAGAACTGGTGAAGCACCAGGGAAATTTCCAACAAGCCCAAAGCCATGGCCAGTGCTGCATCTGGGCCCACAATCATTGTCTCAGTTTCTCTCGCACAAGAGGTGAACAGCTGGTGAGATAAATAAAAATCCTCAGTTTCTCTCGAGCACCAGGGCAGTTTCCAACCATTCAAGAGCCAGTGCCAGTGCTTCATCCGGATTTACTGTCCCCGTGTCTATCATCAGCTTCGGCACCGAACCTGTCGGGTAGGTCCAGCAGCCGTTGTACCTATCAAGCAGTTCCTGCATGTCTTCCCAACATGCCGGCCTGTGCCACCGCCCCTTCAAGCTTCCTGCTGTCTGTTTCCTCTCACTCTCACTCTCCCTTCCTCTTTCCTGCTGTCTGCTGTGTTCTGTATACATACTGACTCCTGAAGTGGTAGCTTCACCTTGATTTTGAGAAGTCGCAAGAATGTCCCTGGTGGTAATCTGACCGGCTTCTGTCGTCCAACCGTCTGCAGCTGCCTCTTGACCGCCAGCAGCTGTTTCTTGACCGTCTGCTCTTTTCACGGAAGAAGCAATCTCGCCTGCTCCTTGGGAACTCCGAGATTTTAACTCACGAGCTCCTGTGGACTGGTTGATTCCTTCTTCGCTTCCACCACATGATTCGCTGGAGACAGACGGCTGGCGGTTTTCTGCACTGTTCTCGTGGTCAGACAGAGCAGCCGCTGCACGCGACTCGATTCTCTGCTTCCACGTGCCCAAATTCGACACGTGGCACTCGATCAGCGCAACCTCAGCTCCGACACGCGTACCGAGAGCCACGCCGGCTTTAAACAGCGCCTCGTGCGCTAGAGGACAATCGACGACCACGGATAAACCTAGATCTAGCTGGACCTCCGCCATCTGCCACATGGCGTCGTATGATAGGCTGTTCAGCACACGCGCATCGACTGGAGTCGCGCACGGTCCTTCCAGCCGTTCTAGAAGCATTGTCGCGTCGCGGAAGACGTCCTTGTCGACTAGCGGCCAGCGAAGCGATCGCGCGAGGCTTCGAGCGAGTGTGCTTTTACCGCTGCCTGGGTGACCCTTCATTAGAAGCAGGACCAAGGAATCTCGCGGGAGAGAAGCAGCTGATACAAGAAAGTGAGGAGCGGAAGCCATTATGAGGAGATACTAAGGCTAAACCTGGAACGGAAAAGGCCGAGACTACTACGAGTCGGCGCGGTTCCGAAGCATATTGGTCTGGAGCACCATTCCTCGGTACAGTAGGTTGCATTGCGACACATGAATGTGGTACTGTAGGGGAAATTCATGGGCCACGATTGCTGTCATGAATTGACGAAGAATGTCGTTCCACTACAAGCTCCTTCGAACTGTTATGACGATGGCATATCGTGATGTGCTGACAGACATTCTCTAAAACCGGAGTCTCAAATTGCAAGCCGAGGTACACATTCAAAAATTATGGGGGATGGGAAACATAAATTTTGGGGGTTGGGGCGAATATTTGGCTGTGATGTGGGCATGAAGGGATAACCCCTGATGCCCACCCAGGTGAATGTGCACCCCGGTTTTAAATACTGGCAGGAGCACAACGCGACATGGATGAGCTCAGCTATATAGCAATTAATTGCAATTCACAGTGAGCCCGGGAAGACAAAAATCAGACCCCGTGTATAACATTAAACATAGCCCCGTCCAGCACAATTCAAGCATTTTTGGATCCTGCACATCCAATCGCAACCAACCACATTCGTCGATCGGTCAATAAGCAAGGAAGATGGAAAAAAAAGGTGAAGATAAAAACAACAAAAACAGAAATGATCCAATGCAGGATGCCTCGAATTATGCACAAACTGGAGGGCTACAGCGCACAAGCGAACATGTGGCATGATGCATCAGTGTTCTGTTGCATACTTGTTGCCTTTGCACGTGGGGCATATGCATGGCCGAGGCAGCACAGGGTCAGCTAGTGGGCTCCATTGAATCTTCCCCGCTGACCGGCACAACTGACATGGGTAGAACCGCTTGCCTTGACACACGGTGCAAGGAGGGGCAGTCTTGGCCTGTGTGGGGAAGGGAAGTGAAGGGGAAAGACAAAATAATGGGGACTTTTGAGGCATCTCAATCGATACAGCTGATAAGGGTAGAACCGCTTGCCTTGACACACGATGCAAGGAGGGGCAGTCTTGGCCTGTGTGGGGAAGGGAAGCGGGATTGAAATGAGGTTTATGTGGGGCATATGCACGGCCGAGGCAGCACAGGGTCAGCTAGTGAGCTCCACTGAATGAGGTTTATGAGGGGCAGTCTTGGCCTGGATGAGAAAAGGAAGTGGAGTCGAAAATCGGGTTAATGGAAGGAGAAGCACAGAAAATACAGTTTCTTTTCCAAGAATCGGTACAAGTGACAATGATGGAATCCCATCCTTGACACACAGTGCAAAAGGGGTTTGGGGGGGGGGGGGGGGGGAGAGAGTGGGGAGCAGTCTTGGCCTAATATGGTAAAGGGAAGTGGAAGTATATGATTGGGTTTGTGGGGGGTTGGGGGTGTGGAAGAGGATGCAAGAGGAAGCACATATTGTAGAATTGCTTCCCCAAGGGTCGGCGAAGTTGCATGAGTAAAACCACGTGCCTTGTGACAAGAGGGGACAGTCTTGGGATATGTGCGGAAGGGAAGAGGTGATGTGGTGAAATACGATATCAATGGCAAAGATATAACAATTTTCCAGCAAGATAAGCCAAGAAGGGAAAGAGATAGGGAGAGAGAGACCGAGAGAGGGAGAAAAAAATAGCACGTGAGGAACGTGGACCGGGGGTCAGTAGAAATGCAGTACAAGTGGGAGGGAGGGAGGGAGGGGGAGGGAGGGAGGGAGGGAGGGAGGGAGGGAGGGAGGGAGGGAGGGAGGGAGGGAGGGAGGGAGGGAGGGAGGGAGGAGGTGGGTGGGGGGGAGGAATGAGGGAGGGAGGGAGGAGGGAGTGGGAAAAGGACATGAAAAGAAAAACCAGTTGTCTTTTCTCCAGCACCACAGTCCCAGCCCTAAAGCGCAGCAACGATGGCGGAGAGAAGATGGGCGGGGACGGCGGTGTAAGGGGGTTGCGAGGACGGGGGAGAGGGGATTGGGGGGGGGGGGGGGGGGAAGGGGAGAGGGCGGAAGCGAGTAAGAAAAGGAGGAAGGGAAAGGAGGATGGGAGGGGGACAAGCAGACACACGTCGTTTCTCCAGTAGTGCAGTCGCAGCCCTCAGGCACAGCGACGACGTGACGGAAACTGCCACGAAGGCTCCTCCCATTATGCCGACGGTCCGCAGTAACACGCGATTCATGGTTGGGAGCGGTTTTGAAAACTAATATCTCAATTCAGATGAATTGCCCTTTTAAAAAAACTAGTAGGCCGCTTCGGATCAATGGCTTCGTAACAAATCAAATTGCGTCGGATCAATTTCTGAGTCGACTCAAGCAGCAAACTGCAGTAACACGCGATTCATGGCCCTGGGCGGTTCGACAAGCTACTACTTCCACTACGTTCTTAGTCAATTCAAAAGATTCTATCGATGGCTCTTACGCAAAACCATCAATAAGCCGATTGAGGAGACGTCTCAAAACTCAGCCCGCAATAACAGGCAGTTTATGACCTTCAATGGTTCGAGAGAAATCCACTACGCTTCTAATGGCCACGATTCTTCGAAAGACCATGCTTCTCTATTGTAACCGTGCGATGGAGCCACCCACGCCAGATTGGATGACGGAAGGATATCCCTAAATGCACGACTCGGGACAATTATCGGAGGGGACGCTTCCGCGGGAACCTATGAGGCGACGCTGTAGAGAAGAAATGGCTACACTCGCGAGTAACCAAGGCTTGTACATTCCTCCGTGTCTGTTTGAACATTCGATCTCCTGAGCCCAGAGGTTCTGTTTTAGCGATTCTGACGAAATCAGCTGAGACTGGAGAACCGTTTCGCTGCGTTACCAAGGTCACAGTCTGTGACTCGTCTAGTGTTCGCAAAGCAGGGTGCTTGTGCGAACAACATTTCCACGAGAGGGATTGTACGAATTCTCCACAGCTCGTTACCTGCTCATTCGAGAGGGATTGTAAATGTCGCCTGTTCACCTGGATCGGCTACCATTGTTTCGGTACCTTTCCCAACGCCTACCAAACCAACAAAAACTTTCTATAACGTAGTCAACCTTATCATTTGCTGATCGTCTTTTGTAGCAAAACTACTGGGATTGAGCTGTGGGCTGACAGCACATAAGCGGGTTTAGCGGCATTGAAGCTCCACCAGCACAGGAGCCTCTTGGCCAGGTTCTTCCGTTCCATGCGCCGCGCTCTCCCTTCGAGCCTAGCGACCTAGGCATGTCCCTGGATCTTTCAGTGAGAAAGCTTAATATCCGAGACTTATACTTACCGTTGCAAGCCCAAACCCACAATTTGAGCGCCAGTCGTCGTGCACCCCTCGGCTCTGCTCGTCGCTGGACTGTCTCCACGCGCTACCGCCGCGCCTTCCTCGCTGTTTCCTCATCCCCTATAACTTACTCATCCTCCGTTCTTCGCGCTCGAAACCCTGCTCATCCAACGGTTGTGTCTCGCGATTCGACTCAAAAGCCATCATCCCCCTTCCTTTCCGCACGAATCCCCGCCGCTCGTTCAACCGCGACCGACGCTGTGACCGCGACCGCTATGTCACTGCCGCGTCGCCCGTTGGGTCGCACGGGATTGAACCTGTCGATCGTGAGCTTCGGCGCGTCGCCACTGGGGAGCGTGTTCGAGGAGATCGACGAGGAGGAGGGCGTGCGGGCCGTGCACGAAGCGGTGAAACTCGGAATCAACCTGTTCGACGTCTCGCCGTACGCGCCCTTGCCCGTGCCCTTGCCCGTGCCCTTGCCCGTGTAATCCGCCTCAACCTAGTAATCGGAGCTGAGACGGATGGAGTGTGTCCGCTGGGGAGCGTGTTCGAGGAGATCGACGAGGAGGGCGTGAGGGGATCGAGTCGAGCCATCGCCACGCTGCCGTGCGCGCGGGGAGCCTTGGTGGCTGCTTTGCCACCAAGGTGGGGTGGGGCGGTACGACGGCCAGGACGAATTTGACTTGATTCCAGTGCTTCCTGCCCCTCTCTCCCCGCCTTTGCGGCTCTCCACTTCTCCAGGTTCTACGGCTCCACTCGAGCCGAGACAGTGCTCGGGAGGGCCATTGCCACTCTGCCGTGCCTGCGGGGGGAGGTAGTCATTGCCACCAAGATGAGGCGGTATGGGCCAGAGGAGTTTGACTCCAGTGCTTGCTCCCCTCCCTCTACCCTCTGCTCTCTCTGCCTGCAGGTTCTATGGGTCCACACGGGCGGAGACAGTGCTAGGGCGTGCCATTGCCTCGCTGCCTTGCCTGCGGGAGGAGGTAGTCATTGCCACCAAGGTGGGGCGGTACAGCCAGCCAGGACGAGTTTGACTTCAGTGCGTGCCTTCATCCCCCTGCCTCCAGATTTTATGGGTCAACTCGGGCTGAGACGGTACTAGGGCGGGCCATCGCCACATTGCCTTGCCCGCGGGAGGACGTAGTGATCGCCACCAAGGTGGGGCGGTACGGCCAGGACGAGTTTGATTTCAGTGCGGATCGGATCAGGAGGAGCGTGGAGGAGAGCTGCCAACGCCTGCAGACGCCTTACCTGGACATTGTTCAGTGCCACGATATCGAGTTTGGAAGTTTGGATCAGGTGAGGAGGAAAGAGAGGTGAGGAGGAAAGAGAGGTGAGGAGGAAAGAGAGGTGAGGAGGGATTTACTTCAGCGCGGATCGGGTCAGAAGGAGCGTGGAGGAGAGCTGCAGACATCATATGTGGATATCGTGCAATCCCATGACATCGAGTTTGGGTCCCTGGACCAGGTGAGGGCGGTACTAAGGCACGGGCAGAGCGAGTTCGATGTTAGTGTGGATCGGATCAGAAGGAGCGTGGAAGAGTGCTGCCAATGCCATGACATTGAATTCGGGAGACTTAATAAGGTGAGAAGGAAGGGGGAGTGGTGCGTCTGGTTGCCACCATCCCATCCCATCCCATCCCATCCCATCCCATCCCATCCCATCCCATCCCATCCCATCCCATCCCATCCCATCCCATCCCATCCCATCCCATCCCATCAACACCTCTCCCACACCCCCCCACCCCCCTTCCCCCCCATGTTCCAAGATCGTGAATGAGACAATTCCTGCCCTCCAGGAGCTGAAAGCGGCCGGCAAGATCCGATTCATCGGCATCACGGGCCTCCCTCTCTCCGTCTACCGATCCGTTCTTCCCCGCGTGCCGCCCGGCTCGCTCGATCTCATCCTCTCCTACTGCCACTATTCCCTCAACGACACGACACTTGAGCCGCTGCTGCCGTGGCTGCAGCAGCTGGGCGTGGGGGTGATCAGTGCTTCGCCCTTTTCCATGGGCCTGCTCACCCCCCAGGGTCCCCCTTCCTGGCACCCAGCACCACAACCACTCAAGGTGTGAATTCTTCTAGCCTCAGCCTATCTCCTCCCCCTCTCCTCTCTGCAGCAGCTGGGCGTGGGGGTGATCAGTGCTTCGCCCTTTTCCATGGGCCTGCTCACCCCCCAGGGCCCCCCTTCCTGGCACCCCGCGCCCCAACCACTCAAGGTGAGTGGGTCTATGTGCTTGGTTCCAGCCCTCTGCTGGGTCTATGTGTTCTTTGAGGCCCTCAAAGGACCTCCCACCCCAGGAATTGAAGGGGAGGTGGCACCTAGGGTCTATGTGCCTGGCTAGCAGAGGTGGCACCTAGACCTCTGCCAGCCCTCTGCCACCTCTGCTAGCCGCTGCTGCCGTGGCTGCAGCAGCAGGGCGTGGGGGTGATCAGCGCGTCTCCCTCAAGGTGTGAGGTGGTGATGTGCGTGGGTGATGTGTTGGGTGTGGCATAGCCGTCCATGTCACTATTTTTGAGTCGACTCAAAAGTCACCTCTTCAAAAGTCAATCAAAAGTCACCTAGTCGACTCAAGAGTCCCCTCAAGGTGCGTGGGTGATGTGTTTGGGCGTGGCATAGCCGTCCCATCCGTGTCACTCCTCTCCACGTCCATCACTCTTGAGTCGACTCAAAAGTCCCCTCAAGGTGCGTGGGTGATCCATGTCACTATTTTTGAGTCGACTCAAAAGTCACCCAGAAGTCACCTAGTCGACTCAGAAGTCACCTCAAAAATCGTCTCATCACTCAGTGTGCGTGGGTGATGTGTTTGGGCGTAGCATAGCCGTCCATGTCACTCCTCTCCGCGTCCATCAGTCGACTCGAAAGTCCCCTCAAGGTGTGTGGGTGATGTGTTTGGGCATAGCAAAACCGTCCCATCCATGTCACTCCTCCCCGCGTCCATCACTCCCCAGGGCCCTCCCTTGTGACACCCTACTCCACAACCCTTCAAGGTGAGTGAGTCTATGTCTATGTGTCTGGCTGTAGTCCTCCCTGTCCCACCTCTCTGTACCTCTCTGTACCTCTCTGTCGTCCCTCTCCATGGGCCAGCTCATCCCCCAGAGGTGACTTTTGAGTCAACTCAAAAGTCAACCCTCCGTCGTCTCTCTCCATGGGGCCTGCTCATCCCCCAAAGCCCGCCTGCTTGGCGCCGCGCACAGCAACCCATTTCCTAGCCGAGCCTGCACCTTTGCTCACCCCATGGTCTTGCCTGTCCTGCACTCTTTTTCCTGCCCCATGCGCCCCTGTCTTTAACCATCAGGAATCAGTTTTGAGAATTCTCAAAAGTGATTTCAATATGCCTCATGCTCCCCTGTCTTTAACCGTCAGGATGCATGCAAGGCGGCTGCACTGGCCTGTCGCCCATGCTACCTCTAACAGTACTCCCTCGCCTCTCCCTCTGTCTTTCCTAACCATCAGGATGCATGCAAGGCGGCTGCACTGGCCTGTCAGCAGCGGGGAGCATCACTGCCCCGGCTGGCCCTCCAGTTTGCAAGTCTCTCAACCCATCTGAACCCATCTTTCCCTCTGTTCCTCTGCTCGCCATCAGGATGCATGCAAGGCGGCTGCACTCGCCTGTCAGCAGCGGGGAGCATCCCAGCTGCCCTCCACTTTTCACCGCGCTTGACCCATCTGGACCTATCTCTCCCTCTGCTCACTGTCAGGATGCATGCAAGGCGGCTGCACTGGCCTGTCAGCAGCGGGGAGCATCGCTGCCACGACTGGCCCTTCAGTTCGCAACGCTCAACCCAGCCATCAGCACGACGCTCGTGGGCATGTGCACGGTGCAGCAGGTGAGGGGAGTGAAGTGTTTGAATGTTCTTGTGTGGTGGCAGAGGTGCTGTGAGCAGCAGTGGGAAGGTGACTTTTGAGTCGACTCATGAGTTGACTTAGAGTCGACTCAAAAGTCACCTCGTTTTTTAATGTTCCTGTGTGGTGGCAGAGGTGCTGTGAACAGCAGTGGGGAGGCGGGTGTGGTTGAGGCTGAACCCGAGTTTTGGATGTGCTTTGTGTCCTTCCTTGGCCGCTTTCTGTCTGTGTGAGCAGGTGCGGGAGAATGTGGCGGCGGTGATTGAAGCAGCAGAGCGTGGCATTGATGAGGCGATGCTGAAAGAAGTGGAAGCTATTCTGGCGCCTCATAAGGATACCACCTGGCCTAGTGGTCGACCCGAGAACAACTGATCACACATATTTTTGGGGCCTCATAAGAACATGGCCCAGTGGTCGTCTGGATAACTGATCACACAGCAATGGTATGTGTTATCAAGTCAGGAGATTCTTCTTTGCAATGTCAACTTACATTGTAAAGAAATGAAAGGAAAAAATGATTGGAGATAAGCTTAAGTGAAATAGCCATTACGCGACCAGTGAAGGCTGTATATGGTCAGTCTTTTGCGTGTGGTGTGCAATCCAAAGCTGGAGGGAAACCATTGCAAGCGCGCGATGCTCGTGCTGTCCAATCAAAATACCACCGACGTTATCTGTAACATGTGTCACAGCCTTCAGGACCCGGCTCGCATTGGTCATTTGTGGTTACGGGGACACGCCCATCGCTTCGCTGGCAACAGCCAATTACCACTCTCCATGCGCGTCGCCTCCGCTGCCACGCACTTCACACAGTCGATTTGACCTCCCTTCGATTGAGCCGCACCGCCAACACCAGACGTCTTGAGGGCATGTCAAAAGACACACGTTTGAATGCGGCTCAGTGGGATGCTTTACATTTTACTACTGTTAAACAATAGTCTACAACGGTTGGGTAGGGTATTGATTCAGTGAGGTTACACACTCACACTCACCTCGTACCGCCCGTACCCACTCAATCCAACTAAACCCACAACTAACCCAAACCAGCACGGCAAAATGCACTTCCTTCAATTAGCAGTCTAGATCCAAACAGATCCCGCCTCCCCCGAGTCGAACCCTCATGAAGACAACCGCACACGGTCCTATGTCGCAGCGCGCGGTAGAGCTTAGAGCGCGTTTTCAGGTATTAGCAAAAGTGGCTTCTCTAGACCGCCTGCAGAGTCGCGATTTTCTGTGCGACTGCATTTCAAGGAAACACAAAAGTTGAAATTAGACTTCGAGCTGCGACTCGGTCTGTATTCCTGATTCGCCTCGTGACAATCTTATCATAACCACCACCCATCATCGCTGCCAGAGGGAATCATGGATCGATCTGCGAAACCACGAACCCGCCGACTCGCCATTACTCGCTCAACGGCGCACGTGGTCGAAGCGTGGCTGGCACGTGCCATGGTTCTCCTGGTGCTCGGTGTCTCCGTAGATCGCGCCTCGTCGTGCGCGCCGTCGTCCCTGCCTGGTTTCGCCAATTCCGTGGATCTCTCGGGAAATGGGTGCGTCGGATTCTGCGTGAGTTAATTCGGAAGCAAAATCGAAGCACCGCTCAGGGTGCGGCGCTGAATTGCTCGGTGTATCCGGCGCCAGGTCGGCGCAATTCTTTCATTCCTATATTCGTCGACCTGTTGAATGACAGTTCCCTTCCGTCATTATTTATCGATTCCAGGGCCATAAATATCACGCGCTGACCGACGCGAGTCGCGCGCCCCGCACTTCCCTCTTCCGCCACGCGCCCCGCACTTCCCTCTTCCGCCACGCGCCCACATCCCCCAGCCTCGTGCTGCACTGGGCGCGCAACGCCTGTCACGTGTAGATCGCAATAGAAGCCAAACCAGCCACTGGGGCCGAGTCCGGCTGGTTCACCCTTCTTCAATCTCTTGCCTCTCGCACATTCCCCTCCTCCTCCTTACAACCTCTATTCAGCCCCGATTCCTCCCCCTCCTCCCTTCTTTCCCCCATTTCCCCCACTCCATCCCCGACCTTCTTCTCCTGTCCCTCCTCCATTCTTCCCCCCCCCTCCCCCTCCCCTCCCCCCCCCCCCCAACGCTTCGCGCCTGCAGATCGCACTAGAAGCCAAACCCGCCCGTGGGGCCGAGTCTGGCTGGTTCTCCCTCCCTGGTTCACTCTCTTCCCCCTTGCCCATTCCCCCTTCCCCCTTTGCCCATTCCCCCTTCCCCCTTGCCCATTCCCCCTTCCCCCTTGCCCATTCCCCCTTCCCCCTTGCCCATTCCCCCTTCCCCCTTGCCCATTCCCCCTTCCCCCTTGCCCATTCCCCCTTCCTCCACAACTCCTGATCCCAACCCATCCCCAACCTCCCGTTTTCTTCCCCATTTCCCCCCCTCCTCCCCCTCCTGTCCCCCTCCTGTCTCCCCACGCTCCCTCCCCACTCTCTCCCCCCCAGCCTAATGCTGCATTGGACCCTCAACGCTTCGCGCCTGCAGGTCGCACTAGAAGCCAAACCCGCCAGTGGGGCCGAGTCCGGCTGGTTCTCCGTCGGCTGGACGGCAAACCGCGGCCGCATGTACCCCGCGGATTGCGTGGTTGGGAACCTTCCGGGAAGCAGCGTGGGCGCGTATTACATCAGCGGATACAGCCGGTCTGACGTGGCGCCTTCTGACGGGGTCTCGATTGGGACGCCTGAGTTGACAGCTGAGAGTAACGGTGGCACGATAATGAAGTGAGTACTGCTTCTGCTGCTCCTCTCCTCCTACTCTTAATGATCCTCCTGCGCCTTGTGATGGGTTATCGATTGGGACGCCTGAATTGACAGCTGAGAGTAACGGCGGCACAATCATGAAGTGAGTACTGCTTCAATGTTCATCGTGGAGTAGCTGCAAACCTGTGAAAAACTCTTAAGCAAAAGGATCAAGACTGTGAAACTGATTCCCAGAAAATTCAAGAAAATCTCACAACCACCAAACTCAGCAAGAGTAACGGTGGCACAATCATGAAGTGAGCACTGCTTCTGCTACTGCTGCTGCTTCTGCTGCTCCTTCTGCTGCTCCTTCTGCTGCTGTTACTGCTGCTGCTTCTGCTTCTGCTACTGCTGCTCCTTCTGCTGCTGCTACTGCTGCTCCTCTCCTCCTACTCTTAATGATCCTCCTGCGCCTTGTGATGGGTTCTCAGTTGGGACGCCTGAATTGACTGCTGAGAGTAACGGCGGTACGATAATGAAGTGAGTGGAATGGGGCAAGGTAAAAAAAAAAACGACCGTATTATTGAAAATTTACCGTAAAAAACGGAACCGTAAAAAACGGCCGTAAAAAACGGTTTAAATCAGTTCCAGGAAGTGTTTTTGTTTGAAGAAAAAAATGGCTGATGCGTGGGACCAAATCGATGGCAAAAGGTACCAGGATGAAGAGGACGAAACCCTCTTTGCATGCGTGCGCTTGTGGGCATGATTGAAAATGTTTACAACCTTGTTTTTCCCTTTTTTTTCTTGGTGGCATCAGTTCTCTAACAAAAAAACACCGTTTTTTTGGAAAATTGCCGTAAAAAACGGACCGTAAAATACGAAAACCGTAATTTTGAACCTGGGGTGATATGTGGTGAGGTGAGGTGAGGTGAGGGGAATGGTAGGTCTTATAAGTGTAGTTGCCTGTATCATTTTGAGGCGCCTCAAAACACGATCATGAAGTGAGTGGAGTGGAGTGATAAGTGATAAGTGGTGAGGTAAGGGGCTTTTCAGTCGACTCAAACACGGGTTCTCAGTTGGGCGTCTGAGTTGACAGCTGAGAGTAACTTTTGAGAATTCTCAAAAGCTGAGAGTAACGGTGACACATTCATGAAGTGAGTGGAATGGAGTGATATGTGGTGAGGTGAGGTGAGGGGAGTGGTAGGTTTTATCATTGTAGTTGCCTGTGTCATTTTGAGGCAGGGTTAAAAAAAACGACCGTTTTTTTTTTATTATTATTTTACCGTAAAAAACGGTATCGTAAAAAACGGTTTTAAAACGGTTCTAGGAAGTGTTTCCTGTTTAACTAACAAAACGGCCACTCAGTGGGACCAAATTGAACCCGAAATGCAGCAGCATGAAGGGGACGGACCCCTTCTTCCATATATGCGCTTGTTGGCATGATTAAAAATGTTTTTGACCTTGTTTTTCTTTTTTTTTCCCTAATAAACAGAGTTCTCTAACAAAAAAACGGCCGTTTTTTTGGAAAATCACCGTAAAAAACGGACCGTATTTTACGAAAACCGTAATTTTGAACCTTGTTTTGAGGCGCTTCAAATACGAGTATGAAGTGAGTGGAGTGGAGTGATACGTGGCGGTGAGGTGAGGGGAGGGGAGTAGTAGGTCTTATCCTTGTAGTTGCCTGTATCATTCAGCTGGTGTTTCTCCTGCTGCTGCGTCTATTCACTTTCCTTCTCCTTATTCTGCTCCTACTAATCCTTCTGCTTCTGCTGCTGCTGCCACTGCTGCTCCTCCTACTCTTCTTGCTCCTCCTGCTCCTGCCCACAGGTTCTCTCGATCCCAAGAAGCTGGTATGCAGGTTCTCCCGATCAGAAGGGGACGGAGGGGCAGTACCAGTCAGCTTCAGCAGCAGCAACAGCCTCATCTGGGCTCCTTCCCTTTCCCTTCCCCTCCAACCCACCCCCTCCCTCCTGCCTGCAGGTTCTCCCGATCAGAAGGGGACGGAGGGGCAGTACCAGTCAGCTTCAGCGGCAGCAACAGCCTCATCTGGGCTCCTTCCCTTACCCTTCCCCTCCAACCCACCCCCTCCTGCCTGCAGGTTCTCCCGATCAGAAGGGGACGGAGGGGCAGTACCAGTCAGCTTCAGCGGCAGCAACAGCCTCATCTGGGCTCCTTCCCTTTCCCTTCCCCTCCAACCCACCCCCTCCTGCCCGCAGGTTCTCCCGATCAGAAGGGGACGGAGGGGCAGTACCAGTCAGCTTCAGCGGCAGCAACAGCCTCATCTGGGCTCCTTCCCTTTCCCTTCCCCTCCAACCCACCCCCTCCTGCCCGCAGGTTCTCCCGATCAGAAGGGGACGGAGGGGCAGTACCAGTCAGCTTCAGCGGCAGCAACAGCCTCATCTGGGCTCCTTCCCTTACCCTTCCCCTCCAACCCACCCCCTCCTGCCTGCAGGTTCTCCCGATCAGAAGGGGACGGAGGGGCAGTACCAGTCAGCTTCAGCGGCAGCAACAGCCTCATCTGGGCTTTCTCCGAGTCTGGATCCACTGAGCTGGCCTTCCACGGCAACAACGCGTGAGTGAGGGAGTCAGTGAGGGAGAGAGTGAATGATTGAGTGAGTGGGTGAGAGAGTAGTAAGGTGTGAGGTGAGGACGAGCCGATAACGGTGGGTTTCAGTGGCAGCAACAGCATCATCTGGGCTTTCTCTGAGTCTGGATCCACTGAGCTGGCCTTCCACGGCAACAACGCGTGAGTCCCAGAGGAGTGAGTCCCAGAGGAGTGAATCCCAGAGGTTCAGTGAATGTAGACGGCAAGGAGTCTCATAGGAGCAATGAATGTGGACGGACATGAACGAGGCCTCGAGGTTCAATGAATGTAGACGTAGCATGTCACACTGCCCTTCATGCCCCTGTTCACCTACAATCCATTCTTCATGTCCTTTCATTCACCCTCACTCCTTTCTCCCCTCTCCTACAGGTTCAATACAATGAATGTACACTTTTCAGACGCATTAGACCGCACCTGTCCCTATGCGTCTGTCCTTATGCCCCTGTCTTCCACTCTATCTCCAACATCCCTTCTGTCTTTTATATCCATGCCCCTTCTGTTCTGCTGACATGCGCCTATCCTCATACACCCCTGTCCCTGTCGTTACACCTTCCCTCCCATCCCCTCCCTTCCCCCCTTCCACCAGAGGTTCAATGGATGTGTGGACTTCACGTGTCAGACTGCACCTGTGTGTGTGAGCCGACCTTATGCCAGTTGACTTTTGAGTCGACTCAAAAGTCACCTGTGTGTATGAGCTGAGCAGCTCTTATGCCCTCGTCTTCTCCCACTTCCCCCTTCCCCCACCCCCCCCAACCAGAGGTTCAATGGATGTGTGGACTTCACATGCCAGACTGCGCCTGTCTGTGTGAGCCTGCACTTATGCCCCTTTCTTCCCCCTCTCCCCCCTTCCCCCACCCCCACCAACCAGAGGTTCAATGAATCTGGACTTCACATGCCAGACTGCACGTGTGTGTATGAGCCGACCCTTATGCCCCTGTCTTTCCCCTCCAAACCCCCCCGTCCTCCCTCCCTCCCCCTCCCCTCCCCCCAACCAGAGGTTCAATGGATGTGGACTTCACATGCCAGACTGCGCCTTCTGCTGGCACCTCAACCTCAGATGATGACGATGATAATGATTGGGGTGATGATGACGATGATGATGATGACGACGACCACGAGGGGGAGCGGGGAGAGGAGGGGAGCCAATCGGCGGGGTCCACGTCAGCAGCTGCTGCTGCGTCTGGGAGTGGCAGCCAGGCGTGCCAGCCGTCCACCCTGCCGGGATATTCCTGCTCCGTGCAGCTCAAGGGGAAAGAGTGAGTGTCGTTTTTACAGCAATCCGGAGTTGTTCTGGGCTTCTCAAAGCCTTGAGGCGCCTCAAACTAGGCTTCTCAAAGGCTTGTGTCTGGGAGTGGCAGGCAGGCATGGTAGCAGCTGTCCACTCTGCCGGGATATTCCTGCTCCGTGCAGCTCGAAGGGGAACGAGTGAGTAATGATGGTCCAGGCACACCAGCATCTGATGCACCACTCACCCCACACTCCCCTCCCAATTTGCAGCTGGCTGAGAATTATGTCACAAGACCAGCTCAAAGGGGAAAAGAGTGAGTAGTGATGGTCCAGGCGCACCAGCATCTGATGCACCACTCACCCCACACTCCCCTCCGACTTTGCAGCTCGCTGAGAATTATGTCACAAGACCAGCTCAAAGGGGAAAAGAGTGAGTAGTGATGGTCCAGGCGCACCAGCATCTGATGCACCACTCACCCCACACTCCCCTCCAACTTTGCAGCTCGCTGAGAATTATGTCACAAGACCAGCTCAAAGGGGAAAAGAGTGAGTAGTGATGGTCCAGGCGCACCAGCATCCGATGCACCACTCACCCCACACTCCCCTCCCAATCTACACCCTCCCAAACTACACCCTCCCAATCTACACCCTCCCAATCTACACCCTCCCAATCTACACCCTCCCAATCTACACCCTCCCAATCTACACCCTCCCAATCTACACCCTCCCAATCTACACCCTCCCAATCTACACCCTCCCAATCTACACCCTCCCAATCTACACCCTCCCAATCTACACCCTCCCAATCTACACCCTCCCAATCTACACCCTCCCAAACTACACCCTCCCAATCTACACCCTCCCAATCTACACCCTCCCAATCTACACCCTCCCAATCTACACCCTCCCAATCTACGCCCTCCCAATCTACACCCTCCCAATCTACACCCTCCCAATCTACACCCTCCCAATCTACACCCTCCCAATCTACACCCTCCCAATCTACGCCCTCCCAATCTACACCCTCCCAATCTACACCCTCCCAATCTACACCCTCCCAATCTACATCCTCCCAATCTACACCCTCCCAATCTACACCCTCCCAATCTACACCCTCCCAAACTACATCCTCCCAAACTACATCTGTAATCGGTGGGCCACACCATCCGCATCACATGTTTTTTTTAGACGTCTCAAAAGTTTAATCTACACTCCAAGTCTATATGTGCCATATAGATTGCCATATCCATCTCTGCATCACAGTCGCATGTTTTGAGACGTCTCTAAGACATGCCATATCCATCTCTGCATCACAGTCGCACCCCTATTCCCGTTTCGTATTCTTCCCGTTTCGAATTCTTCCCGTTTCGTATTCTTTTTCCCTTCTCCCCCTTCCCTCCTCCCACCAGTTTCATTCTCCACTGGAAGACTGGGCCAACCACTGTGGCAATGGCTGCTGACGTGGCAACGTCTGGTTATGTGGCGGTCGGATGGTCCAAGAGCAGCAAGATGTACCCCGCTGACGCAGCCATTGGGAATCTGCCACCTGGCACTCTCGCTAATGGGGCGGCGGTGGGAGCCTATCACATGAGCGGCTATGGCCTGTCTGACGTGGCGCTGACGTCATCGTTCGAGCTCACCAACACGACTGTGACTACAGCGAATGGGAGAACTACCATTACGTAAGTGTCGAGCGTTTGCAAGATTTACTTATCCAACCAACACGACTGTGACAACAGCGAATGGGAGAACCACCATCACGTGAGTCAACCTTACCTTCCGCCCTTGAGACGTCTCAAACCACCTGACACTAATGAAGGTTGCATACGGTTTTCTCCCTTGACAGCCGAAACATGTTTGTCCTTGTTTCTTTCAACAACTGCTAAGAGTTTGGCTCGGAGATCTCTTTGAAAACGCTTAGTCTTACACAACGAGTGCAATACTAGCTGTTTGTTCTTTTGCTGTAAGCCTAGCTTCATACTGCTGCTGCTTTTGAGACGTCTCAAAAGTCTTTTGCTGTAAGCCTAGCTTCATACTGCTGCTGCTCCCTGAGAATGCTTTTGAGTCGACTCATTTCAGTTGCTACTGCTGCTGCTCCCTGAGAATGCTTTTGAGTCGACTCAAAAGCTGCTCCCTGAGAATGCTTTTGAGTCGACTCATTTCAGTTGCTACTGCTGCTGCTCCCTGAGAATGCTTTTGAGTCGACTCAAAAGCTGCTCCCTGAGAATGCTTTTGAGTCGACTCATTTCAGTTGCTACTGCTGCTGCTCCTTGAGAATGCTTTTGAGTCGACTCATTTCAGTTGCTACTGCTGCTGCTCCCTGAGAATGCTTTTGAGTCGACTCAAAAGCTGCTCCCTGAGAATTATGTCCGAAGGTCTCAAACCACCTTACCTTTCGCCCTTCCGGTTCCCCCCCTCTTATCCACCCTTCCCCCCCCCCCCCCCCCCATGCAGATTTGAGCGCCCCCTCTCAGTGGGAGCGGTCCCCATCAGCAGCAGCGGCGCCACCAGCGTGCTCTGGGCCTTCTCTCGTTCAGACTCGCAGCAGCTGGCCGACCACGGGCCCAACGAGTGAGTAGGCGCTGTGCAGGCATGGGCATGGCACAGTGCAGGCATGGGCATGGCACAGTGCAGGCATGGGCTGGGCACATGGACAATTGAGTGGGCCTGCATGGGTGAAGGGCTAGTGTGCTCTGGGCCTTCTCTCGCTCCGACTCGCAGCAACTGGACGACCACGGGCCCAACGAGTGAGTGCCCATTTCACAAGCAAAAGTGGACTCCTCTTTTACCGACTCGGCTTGTTGTCAACGAGTTTCTTCCAAAATGGGTCGAGTAAATATCTGGCTTGGCTGCCCATGTATGGTTGAAAGTAAAAAAAAAAAGGCTGTGATGCTGAGCTGAAGAGGACGTGCTTTCTGAATGAAGTCAGTTTCTGATTAGTGTCATGAGTGATTTGTTGTGCTTTCTTGTCTTCCCTGCTCTGCTCCGAAGGGTCACCTTGACTCATAGTCGAAGGGCTGCAGGAGTTGTAAAGACTCTTAAGCAAAGGAACAACAACTGCAGCCCTTCGACTGTGAGTCAAGGTGATTTGTTGTGCTTTATTGTCTTCCCTGCTCTGCTCCGTTTCTGAGACGTCTCAGAAAACTGCTCCGTTTCTGAGACGTCTCAAAAAACTGCTCCGTTTCTGAGACGTCTCAAAAAACTGTTCCGTTTCTGAGACGTCTCAAAAAACTTCTCCGTTTCTGAGACGTCTCAAAAAACTGCTCCGTTTCTGAGACGTCTCAAAAAACTGCTCCGTTTCTGAGACGTCTCAAAAAACTTCTCCGTTTCTGAGACGTCTCAAAAAACTGCTCCGTTTCTTAGGTGCAGCGCAGAGCTTACTCGAGTGCCTCATCTCACAAGTTGTCTCTTAAGTCACACTCAAGAAATCAAATCTGCATTGTCTTGCTTACCTCACCTTCACTTTAACTGCCCCGATTCCCTCTTCCACCTCCCCCCCACCCATGTTCACCACCCACCGGGAGTTCCATTAGAATCAACTTCGTTACAGGCACAGTCCAGTTGGGGAAATCAAAAGCCAATTACCCACTTCTTCCCCCCTCCCTCTCTTACCACCCTCCACCCTCCAGAGGCTCCATTAGAATCAACTTCGTTACAGGCACAATTGAGTCAGGGAAATTGACAACCAACCCAGAGGCACTCTATGCGGCACATGGGTGGATTCTCACTATAGCGTTTGGCATTCTCATGCCTGCTGCCATGCTTATATCGAGGATATTCCTCTCAGATAAGCCAGCAGAGGCAGCGGCAGCAGCAGTGCCAAGGGAAGAAGCAGCAAAAGGAGGGGATGGGTCAGTTGAGTTTATTTTGCATGGAAGCAAAGAACTGGACAGGGTTCAACCGGACGGGCTTTTACTGGAGACAGTAGGAGATGGAGGAGAAAAACCAGTAGCAGCAGGGGCGGCAGGTGCAGCAGGGGCAGCAGGGGAAATTACCCCAGTGTATATTGGCCCTGTGGTAACCATAGTGAAACCCTGGATTTCCAAGCCTCAAGCATTCAGCGCCCACAAGTGGATCATGCTCCTTGCTGTCGTGCTCTCATTGGTTGGAATCATCATGGCGTTTGTCCAATCAGGGACGAGCTCCCTGCAGTCGACACATGGCAGGCTGGGATTGGCCGTGCTGCTGCTGATCGTCCTCCAGCCAATCATAGGCCAGCTGAGGCCGGTCAAGAGCCACGTGTCACGACCCTATTGGTTTGCGCTGCATTGGGTGGTGGGACTGGCGATTGTGGCTATGGCGTGGAGCAACACGTACCTTGGGATTGACCTTGCAAGCAGCCGATTCGGCTACAACCTTGACGTGAGTCCAGCAACCGTTAGTTTGAGTTCTCTTCTCTTCTCTTCTCTTCTCTTCTCTTCTCTTCTCTTCTCTTCTCTTCTCTTCTCTTCTCTTCTCTTTCGTTTTAATTGTATGAACCTAGCTGTATAGCTACACTAATCTTTCCGATCTTCCTTCCCCTCTCCCTCCATCGATTGCAGTGGTGCTACATCGTCTTCTCCATCTTGATTGGTATCTTCGCTGCTGCTTACACGATCGACTTTGAGAGATGTCTCAAATCCATCATGTTTCCCTTGTTCCTGTCCCTATCCCTGTTGCATCGATTGCAGTGGTGCTACATCGTGTTCTCAATCTTGATTGGTATCTTCGCTGCTGCTTACGCGATCGACTTTGCGCTGGACCAGCTGGGATTCATCATGCTTCGATATAAGCAGTCTCGTATCGAATCTGAAATGCACCGCGCAAGGGCAGTGGAGATAGTGTAGCTTGCTTGCTGCTATCGGTGGTATTGGTGCTGAATCCTGATGCTCGCTGTATGGATGGATGCCGATTTTTCTAATCCTCATGGTACTGATGCGCTCGCTCATGGTCCTGAAACATGTACTATCAAAGACGGAATTCAGTCCAAGGACGACAGTCCTTTTCTACTTGCTAATGTTCAGTTCAACTGTTCATTCCATGATCCTCTCCTCTGGCTCCAAGTGGAAGCTCAAAGAGAAGTCAACAGTTTCATCCATGAAGGGGACAAAGCTAAACCACACGGTCTTCTGGCTCCAAATGAAAGCTCAAAGAGAAGGCTCAACTCAACGCAGTGGTGGCATGAGCGGTGCTGACGTACACAGGGAAAGTTAATAAAGGATACGGGATAGTAGTGATTTTGTGGATTTGAAGGATGACGGGGAGAGGATGAAGGGGACAAAAGCTAACCAGAAAAACTGTTGGGCAAACTGTTGGGAAATGACTTGGCAGGGTGCAGGTTATGTGTGATGACTCGACATGGTGAGGTGGACTGGTGTAGACAACTCGGCCATCCTGACACATTAGAAATCGTCAATTAAACCTTAAAGGCTAGTATTTGATCCACAGAAGTATTCAGTCTGTTACTTGCAAAACTTGGTTTAATCACACACCAACTGCTGTTGATGGACACAGTTCACTATGTGGACGGTCGAGATCGCTTGGCCTGCATGATTCGGTCCATGGCAACTGCATCCATGGACCAGCAGTCACAGACACAGACCACCTTCGTGCTGCCCTGCAGAGAACTCGTGTTGCTTGTCTTCTAACATACGGTATAGGCCTCATCTTGTCCCGGGCAATTGCTATGTGGACGCTCGAGATCGCTTGGCCTGCATGATTCGGTCCATAGCAACCGCATCCATGGATGTGGGGTCGAGACTACGCTCTGCTGCTGCCGTGCACACCTGGGAGGGGAGGGAGGGGGGGCAAATGAAGGGAACACGACACAAACACAGGAGGCAACATGTGAAAAGCGATTCACAGGAACCCTGGCAGCTGCATTCATGGACGTGGGGTCGAGGCTGCGCTCCGCTGCTGCTGCTGCTTCTGTGCACACCTGGAAGGGGAGGTGCGGACGAAACGCATGTTCAGAAAACTGGCTATGGTTCAGGTACATGACACAGGAGGCAACATATGTAGGTAATTAACAGTAACCCTGGCAACTGTATCCATAGGTGTGGGTAAAGGCTGCAGTCTGCTCCTGCTGTGTTGACTTTTGAGTCGACTCAAAAGTCAACTCTGTATCCATAGGTGTGGGTAAAGGCTGCAGTCTGCTCCTGCTGTGTTGACTTTTGAGTCGACTCAAAAGTCAACTCTGTATCCATAGGTGTGGGTAAAGGCTGCAGTCTGCTCCTGCTGTGTTGACTTTTGAGTCGACTCAAAAGTCAACTCTGTATCCATAGGTGTGGGTAAAGGCTGCAGTCTGCTCCTGCTGTGTTGACTTTTGAGTCGACTCAAAAGTCAACTCTGTATCCATAGGTGTGGGTAAAGGCTGCAGTCTGCTCCTGCTGTGTTGACTTTTGAGTCGACTCAAAAGTCAACTCTGTGTCCATAGGTGTGGGTAAAGGCTGCAGTCTGCTCCTGCTGTGTTGACTTTTGAGTCGACTCAAAAGTCAACTCTGTATCCATAGGTGTGGGTAAAGGCTGCAGTCTGCTCCTGCTGTGTTGACTTTTGAGTCGACTCAAAAGTCAACTCTGTATCCATAGGTGTGGGTAAAGGCTGCATTCCGCTCCTGCTGCGCACGCCTGGGAGGGGAGAGAAGGCATGAGGAGAAAACATGGGTGTAGTTCGGGATCGGGAACATATGCAGACAAACAAGCAACATATGAAGGGTGATCCACCATGTGGAGAAAACATGGGTGTGGTTCGGGAACATATGCAGACAAACAAGCAACATATGAAGGGTGATCCACCATGGGTCCATGCCGACCCACCTGGTCCATAACAGTCGCTGCGGCACTCTCGTCGTCCTCATAAGCCCTTAGGGACTTGCAGAGGAAGAGAGGAAGAGGGTCTCTTCCAATCAGGGAAAATCCGACCACTTCAGATCTGCTTGTGGCAGCTTCTGACCAGATGCTAACCACTTCCGAGAGGCTGGTAACCGCTGAAAAAAATTACTGATAACCACTTATGAGCCCCAGTCAAGCCCAGCTCACCTCGTCCATAAGAGTGTCAACAGCGCTGTCATCGTCCACGTAAGCCGGCAGCGATTCACAGAGAAAGAGCACATCCAACTGATACGGGTGCTGATGACCCTGCTGGTAAATACCTTTGATCTCTGTCAAGCCCGGCTCACCTCGTCCATAAGAGCGTCAACAGCGCTGTCATCGTCCACGTAAGCCGGAAGCGATTCACAGAGAAAGAGCACATCCAACTGATACGGGTGCTGATGACCCTGCTGGTAAATACCTTTGATCTCTGTCAAGCCCGGCTCACCTCGTCCATAAGAGTGTCAACAGCGCTGTCATCGTCCACGTAAGCCGGCAGCGATTCACAGAGGAAAAGCGTGTCCAGCTGGATCTGCAGGTAACCGCCTCTTCTCATTCTTCTGGGAACCCCCTCGAAGGGCTCATCCACTCAAGCAGAACCCACCTCGTCCATGAGAGTGTCGACTGCTCTCTCATCGCCCACACAGGCCCTCAGGGGCTCGCACAGGAAAAGCATGTCCAGCTGAATCTGCTGGTGAACACGTCTGAGTTTGAATCTTAGTCAAGCCCAACCCACCTCGTCCATGAGAGTGTCGACTGCACTCTCATCGTCCACATAAGCGCACAGCGATTCACAGAGGAAGAGAGCGTCCAGCTGGATCTGCTGGTAACCACCTCTCACTTCGCTGACAGCTGCTTCTAGTTCTGCTGATAAGCACCTTCCTCCAACCCAGTCAAGCCTAGCTCACCTCGTCCATGCGAGTGTCTACGGCACTCTCATCATCCACATAGGCCCGCAGCGATTCACAGAGGAAGAGAGCATCCAGCTGGATCTGCTGGTAACCGTTTCACAACTTAGCCCAGACAAGGCAACTCACCTCATCCATGAGAGTGTCCACAGCGCTCTCGTCATCCACATAGGCCCTCAGCGATTCACAGAGGAAAAGCGCGTCCAGCTGGATCTGCTGGTAACCGCCTCGGTTGAACGTCTCGAGCCGCACGCACTCCTGGAAGCTCTTGAGAGTGAGCTTCACGATAGTTGCCATCACTGACACCTGTAGCAGGTGGTGGAATAGGACTTATAGTCAGAGGTTATCCATGCATATGGCATTTTTGAGTCGACTAAAAAATCGACTCATCTCACGCAGGTGGTGGAATAGAAGGACTTAGAGTCACAGGTTATCCATGCATATGGCATTTGGGATTCACTTTTGAGAATTCTCACAAGGAAACAGCGATCAGATCTCTTCAAAGCGAGCTTCACAACACAACAGTGCCCTGCCCATCTCCTTTCCCCCCAACCTCCACATTCCCCTTGACCGCAGTTAACCGTAGCGAACCAAGCTTAATAGAGATCTCCACTCACTCGCTGCTAAAAAATGCCTCTCTATGATCCTTCCCCCCACCGTTCCCTCCTTTTCACGTGATATTTTCCGAGTTGATTTTGAGACGTCTCAAAGATGCCTCTCTATGATGCTTCCGTTCCCTCCTTTTCACGTGATATTTTCCGAGTTGACTCATAAGCCACCTTTTGAGACGTCCCAAAAACTCCCTTTAATAGAGATCTCCACTCACTCGCTGCTGAAACATGCCTCTCTATGATCCTTCCCCCCACCGTTCCCTCCTTTTCCCCCACCAAGCCTCCCCAATCCCACCATTTCCTCCTCCTCCCACCCCTCGGTTCCCCCCCCCATCCCCCAACCACACTAACCTGAGTAAACTCATGCCTAGTAAACATCTCCACTCCTTGCTTAAACAGCTTCACCACATCCCTCTACAAATCCCTCAACCCATCCCACCCAATGGCGCTTACCTGAGTGAACTCAAGCTTAGTAAAGATCTCCACTCGTTGCTTAAACAGCTTCGCAACATCCCTCTCCAAAACCCTCCCCCGCGTCCCCCCCCTCTCCTTCTGCCCTCCTCCCATCCCACTCCTCCCACCGCCGCCCCCTCCTCCTCCCCCCACTCCTCCCGTTCCCGAGCCTGCGCTCCCGCGGCTCTTGCCGTAGCTGCTTCCCGAGCCTCCGCGGGAGGTTCGGCTGCGCTCAGCCCCGGGTTCAAGAATCTGCTCCACTGAATCTTCCACTGATTCCACCTCCTGGAGAATCAAATCCACCACCATACGCACGTCCCGAGGCTCCTTGTACTGTGTGGGGAGGGGTAGAGAGTGGGAGGACAAGGGAGGGCAAGGGAGGGGTCACATGCTAATTTCCAATTCCCCGAAGCTGTTCCACTGAGTCCAAGCTCTGATTCCACCTCCTGGAGAATCAGATCCACCACCATACGCACGTCCCCATGCTCCTTGTGCTGTGTGTGCAAGGAGGAAAGCAGGGGGTCAGGAACGAGGGGGGACAGGAGGGTGGGAAGGAAGGAGTGAGACTTTGTATTGCTTCTGGTTTTAGAATCTGCTCCACTGAGTCCAAGCTCTGATTCCACCTCCTGGAGAATCAGATCCACCACCATGCGCACATCCCTCGGCTCCTTGTACTGTGTGTGTGAGGGGATGAGTGGAGAAACGCGGAGGGCAAGGATGGGGACGCATGTCTATTGCCATTTCAAGCAGAATCTGCTCTACTGAGTCTTCTAATGATCCCACCTGGAGAATCAGATCCACCACCATACGCACATCCCGAGGCTCCTTGTACTGTGTGTGGGAGGAGGCGAAGGAGGAGTGGAGAGAGCGGAGGGGAAAGGGAGAGTACACATGTTTGTTGCCATTCCAAGCAGCTGCTCCACTGAGTCTTCGACTGATTCCACCTCTTGCAGAATCAAATCCACCACCATACGCACGTCCCGAGGCTCCTTGTATTGTGTGTGGGGAAGGAGGAGAGGGGAGAGAGGGGGAGGACAAGGAAAGGGACACGTGATTATTGCCACTTCAAGCAGAAGCCGCTCCACTGAGCCTTTGCCACGTGATTATTTGAGTGATTCCACCTCCTGGTGAATCAAATCCACCACCATACGCACGTCCCGAGGCTCCTTGTACCGTGTGTGAGGATTGCTCCTTGTACAGGGGAATAGGAGGCGAGACGGGATTGTGGCACATGCTTATTGCCTTTTCAACGCAGATCACTGGACGAGATGCCCATGCAAGCAAACCACTGGAGAATCTACACCTCCAAGACGTACGCAGGCTATCGCAAGCATACCCGTAGATCTGGGAAAATCAACAAAAAAAAGTTGTGAGCTAAGCAGGAACGCACCTTGACCCAGTTAGGTGTGGATACACTCTTAGCGATCATCTGATGCAGCTTGCGAGCCTCGAGATCCACATACTGGTTGGTGCACACACGGGGAGAGGGCAAGGAGAAGGTGGGGAGAGGAAGGGAGGGGAGCAGGGATGGGTGGAGTGGGGTGGGGATGGGTGCATCATCCCTTGGCGATTATCTGATGCAGCTTGCGAGCCTCGAGATCCACATACTGGTTTGTCCATGTAGTACATGGGCAGGGAGGAGGGGGCAGAGGTGTGGGGGGGGGGGGGGACAGGGGAGCAGAAATGAATGGAGTGTGGATCACTCTTAACGATCATCTGATGCAGCTTATGTGCCTCGAGAAACACATATTCGTTGGTGCACATGTGGGTCAGAAAGAGGGCACGGAGGGAGGAAGAGAGAGGGGAATGGGGATCACTTCTTGGCGATCATCTGATGCAGCATACAAGCCGCAGTGGAGCAGGGGGGAGAGGGCGCACACTGCACGTGGTTAACCAGAAACACTACGATACGACTTTTTTTTTTTTTTTTTTCTCTCCTCCTCCTCCTCTTCTTCTTTCTTTCTTTGTTGCTTGTTGATGTTTTGGTATTTTTTCTCACTAGCAATGCAAGCACTATCAGCAGCACTCTCTGCAAATCCTCCTCACCTGCTGAAGAAGCTTCTCGGAAGTGTCATGAAACTGCCGCATGAGGTCGGAGGAGGAGAAGAGCTGCTCACTCTCATCATCTAATCGGACATTGCAAGGAGCAAACTGGGTCTCGAGTATCTGGGATAAGAAGGGAGGAAACAACAGAAGGCAGGAAGGACTTAGAGAACCAAAAAAAAAAAGAACTTTCCAATCGTCCGAATGCAGGATGTTTGGGGAGGGGAGAAAGCTGGGCCTGACGCACCTCAGAGATGAGCAGAGGAAACAACAGAAAGGAGAAGGGAGGAGCCTAATGAGGTCTGACGGAGAAGAGGGAGTTGAGGCAGCAGCAGGAGCAGGAGCGTCACTTCCTTAACAGATGCCCCTAGGCAGGCATCTAGGCTAGGCCTGGGGGAGTTGGGGCTTGGGACTCTTAGGCCTGCCACCGTGCGCTTGCTCCCTTCGCATTCACGCATCTGGCTGCTAAAGACTCACTCACCGTGGCTAGCTTGGACAGAACAGTGGGCTGAATCCTGATTTTGCGGTGTTTAAAGAAAAGAGCGTACACTTTAGACAGGGGCATCATAGTAGCACAGGTTCCTGTAAGCGAGCTAGTTTTCATCACTGCCAAACTGCGCAAGTGCCTAGCCTCCCTTAGAACTGCAGCGCCATGGCTCCCACACTTAGAAAAACCCGCAACTCGCAGCACACCTTCTAGCCGTATGTCTTTCAGCAAAGCCTTCTTCTTACCTCCTCCACATAGTACCCCCTACTGACGACGTACAGTGACTGGGACGACCACCTTTTAGACACGCTCATCTCTCTCTTCCCATCGGACTGTTGGGACCGAGACACCACAAAGGGGCAGTTAGCACGGTGCCGATCCGAATGGGAGGTCTAGTCTAGGCATTCAGTTGCAGACGCAGCTAAGGGAGGCATGCCGGCGTGCACTCTGACTGCCTAGACCTCCCATTCGGATTGGTAAGAACACTTGTGACCGTGCTAACTGCCCCTCTATGGTGTCTAGGCTAGGGTCCGGCGGGAAGAAAGAGATGAGCGTGTCTAAGAGGTGGTCATTCCAGTCACTGTACGTCGTCAGTAGGGGGGACTGTGTGGAGGAGGTAAGAAGGCTTTGCTGAAAGACATACGGCTCGAAAGTGTGCTGCAATTTGCCAGTTTTCTGATCGAGGGAGCCATGGCGCTGCAGTTGTAAGGGAGGCTAGGCACTTGCGCAGTTCTCGTCGTACCCGCTCATCTGGCTGCAAAAGACTTACTCACAGCGGCTAACTTGGAGGGTCCAGTGTGTTGGATGAAGAAAGAGAGTCGCACCAGTAGCAGCACCAGAATCACCACCAGAAGTAGCATCGTCACTCCCCTAGCAGTAGCTGAACTCGAGGCCCTAACTCTGACCATATGTGCTTCATAACCACTACAGGGGTTGACTACAATGGCTTACTCATAGTGGCTAGCTTGGGCAGGGCAGTGTGTTGGAAGAAGAGAGAGAGTCGCACCAGTAGCAGCACCAGCATCAGCACCAGAAGCAGCAGCACCAGCAGCACCGTCACTCCCCTAACAGTAGCTGAACTGAACTCGGGGGCCCTACCACTGACCATATGTGCTTCATACCCACTACAGTAGTTGACTACAATGGCTCACTCACAGTGGCTAGCTTGGGCAGAGCAGTGTGTTGGACGAAGAGAGAGAGTCGTGCTAGCAGCAGCACCAGCAGCAGCAGCAGCAGCAGCAGCAGCAGCAGCACTAGCAGCACTGTCACTCCCTGAGCATGTGCTGTGCCAAACCAGGGGCCCTTACACTCACCGTGGCTAGCTTGGGCAGAGCAGTGTGTTGGATGAAGAGAGAGAGTCGTGCTAGCAGCAGCACCAGCATGGGTACTGGCCCTCCTGCTGCAAGCAGGGTGGAGAGGATTGAAGAGGGGTGAAGAAGGAGTGTGCGAGGCATAATTGACAGACGGCAGAGGTCCTGGTGGGTGATTGGTGCATGAGAGACGGTGGAATGGGGTGGAGAGGGGTGAAACAAGGTGGAGCCGGAGAGAAACCAACCATGATTCCACTAACTCAGTTCACTTCTAAATTGAGTTGTTTCATTGTTTATAGGGTTACCTCGCTGAGGAGTAGAAGGAGGGGGACACTTCGTGCCAGTGGGTGGGGGATTGATGCACGTGCGCGGGTGGAGCCATGGAGATTTTTGAGGCGCCTCAAAAATTACCTCGCCGAGGAGTAGAAGGAGGGGGACACTCCGTGCCAGTGGGTGGGGGATTGATGCACGTGCGCGGGTGGAGGCATGGAGACGTGTGGAGAGGGGTGGAGAGTGAGAGTAAGTAGGATGTGAGGGAGGCGAAGAGAACGGAGAGGGGAGAATGGGAGGGGGAAAGAGAGATGAAGGGAAAAAGGGGTTTTTTACCTGACCCAGGGGTGGAGGGAGGGGGACGCTGAGCGCCGGTGGGGGATTGGTGCACGTGGGCGGGCGGGGGGGTGGAGAGGGAGAGGAAGTGCGAGTTGAGGGAGGCGAAGAGCACGGAGAGCTGCGATTGGACGAGAGAGAGGAAATCATCGGTCCAGGAGGAGAGGAGGTCAACTCGGTCGTGCAGGAGGGACTTGAAATCCTGAAGGAGGGAATGTGTGAGAAGTAAGGCAGAAGAAAGGCAGAAGAAAGGCAGAAGAAAGGCAGAAGAAAGGCAGAAGAAAGGCAGAAGAAAGGCAGAAGAAAGACAGAAGAAAGACAGAAGAAAAACAGAAGAAAGACAGAAGAAAGACAGAGAAGAGGGGAAGATGAGAGAGTGGAAGTGGTGGGTCCAGGAGGAGAGGAGGTCGACTCGGTCGTGGAGACGAGACTTGTAATCCTGTAAGAGGGAGGGCGTACAGAAAAAATGGACGAGGAAGGGACGAGAGCAGGTCGACTCGGTCGTGCAGGAGAGACTTGTAATCCTGGTGAGGGGAGGGAGAGTGGGAAATGGAAGAGGAAGGGGAAGAAAGATGAAAGGAAGGAAGTCATGACACAGCGGTACCTCCAGCAGGCGCAGAGAGGAGTTGAAGATGGTTCCTTGCACCGACTCCAGCACTGCTGCCAGAGGCCTGTCCCCTCCCTACATACCTCCCATACCAAGCAAGCAGGGCACTCAAAGCAAGACCACAACATGTGATGCGGATCAAACCACTGCTCACCATACCTCCAGCAGGCGCAGAGAGGAGTTGAGGATGAGTCCTTGCACCGACTCCAGCACTGCTGCCAGCGGTCTGTCTCCCCCTCCACGGAGCGACTTGGGCTGGGCTGCAGCGAGGGAGGGCAGGGAGCCTGGCGCCCCTGGCTTGGCTGCCACTGCATGCAGTGCGTCTGGGGGAGGGGGGTGAGGAGGGGGAGGGGATAGAGGAGAACAGAGGGAAAGAGGGCTTGAGTTGACTCCAGCACTGCTGCCAGCGGCCTGTCTCCCCCTCCACGCAGCGACTTGGGCTGGGCTGCAGCGAGGGAGGGCAGGGAGCCTGGCGCTCCTGGCTTGGCTGCCACTGCATGCAGTGCGTCTGGGGGAGGGGGGTGAGGAGGGGGAGGGGATAGAGGAGAACAGAGGGAAAGAGGGCTTAAGTTGACTCCAGCACTGCTGCCAGCGGCCTGTCTCCCCCTCCACGGAGCGATTCCGGCTGGGCTGCAGCGAGGGAGGGCAGGGAGCCCGGCGCTCCTGGCTTGGCTGCCACTGCGTGCAGCGCGTCTGAGGGGTAGAGGGGGGTGGGAGGGAGTAGAGATGGTTCAAGGGACGAAGGGCGAGGGGCAAGGGAGCCTGGCGCCCCTGGCTTGGCTACCACTGCGTGCAGTGCATCTGGTGCGATGGGCGAGAGGCGAGAGCAGAGGGGAGAGAAATAGGGTTTGAGTTGACTCCAGCACTGCTGCCAGAGGCCTGTCTCCCCCTCCACGGAGCGACTTGGGCTGGGCTGCAGCGAGGGACGGCAGCGAACCCGGCGCTCCTGGCTTGGCTACCACTGCATGCAGTGCGTCTGGGGGAGGGGGGGAGGGTGGTGGGGGTAGAGATGTTTCAAGGGATGAAGGGCGGGGGGCGAGGGAGCGAATTGGGAGGGGCTGCGGCAAGGGAGGGCAGGGAGCCTGGCGCTCCTGGCTTGGCTGCCACTGCATGCAGCGCGTCTGGTGGAGGAGCAATGTGGGGGGTGGGTGGGTTGGGGAGTCGGGGCCAAGGAGGGAGGAGTGAGTGGCAAGGGACGCATGGGTCTTGGCACGTCTCATGGGATGCTAGGCGTACCTGTGATCCAGATCTCAAATGTAATTTGTTGCTGCATTTTGGAACCATGACATACATGGCATGCACGACATATGCGGCTTTATAGGACATATGCGGCTTTATAGGACATATGCGGCTTTATAGGACATATGCGGCTTTATAGGACATATGCGGCTTTATGGAATGCGCACCTGGCTTTATGGAATTCTTCCAAACACCATCTTATGCGTGACATGAATGGCTTGTATTGTATGGCATGGCATGAATGACTTGTATTGTATGGCATGACATGAATGACTTGTATTGTATAGCATGGCATGAATGACTTGTATTGTATGGCATGGCATGAATGACTTGTATTGTATGGCATGGCATGAATGACTTGTATTGTATGGCATGACATGAATGACTTGTATTGTATGGCATGACATGAATGACTTGTATTGTATGGCATGGCATGAATGGCTTGTATTGTACGGCATGACATGAATGGCATGTATTGTATGGCATGACATGAATGGCATGTATTGTATGGCATGGCATGAATGACTTGTATTGTATGGCATGGCATGAATGGCATGTATTGTATGGCATGGCATGAATGACTTGTATTGTATGGCATGGCATGAATGGCTTGTATTGTATGGCATGACATGAAAAGCATGTATTGTATGGCATGGCATGAATGACTTGTATTGTATGGCATGGCATGAATGGCTTGTATTGTATGGCATGACATGAATGGCATGTATTGTATGGCATGTCATGAATGGCATGTATTGTATGGCATGTCATGAATGGCATGTATTGTATGGCATGTCATGAATGGCATGTATTGTATGGCATGGCATGAATGACTGGCATCCATGGCATTCAAAACATGCGCACCTGTGATTCGAATCTCCAAGAGAGCAAAGCCTTGCATGATGTGGTCTCGCACTGCTGCTGCCATGGCCTGCGAGAAAAGGGGCAAGACAGGAAAGGAGGGGAACGGAGGAAGAGAAGGAGAAGGGCGAGAGAGACAGATAAGGGAGCTGCAAAAAAACAGAGCCATGCCTGCACAATGTGATCTCAAACTGCTGCTGCTCTCTCCTCTGCTGCCCTCTCTTGTCACAGGGTGTTTTTGAGAATTCTCAAAAACACCCTTGATTTCTACCAGTACTTGGTTTGTTGTTTCCTAACCCTTTCCTCGCCCCGCACCTTTGCTGCTCTATCCTGCAGGTCAGCATCAGGCACCAGCTCAGACATCTTCACCACATCGGTTGTAGCTGCTGTTGCCTCTGTAGCCGGAAACTGTTACCACTACGTGGATTGTTACCTTTCCTCCCAGCCTCACCTCTGCTGCTCTGTCCTGCAGGTCAGCATCAGGGACCAGCTATGACATCTTCAGCACATCAATTTCATGTTGTATCCGACACTTATTCTGCTGGCGTCACTGCCACTGTTACCACTACTTTCTTTCATCACCCCTCACCTCTGCCGCTCTGTCCTGCAGGTCAGCATCAGGAACCAGCTCTGACATCTTCACCACGTCGGTTGTGACAGTGTCTGTTGATGCTACTCTGTCGCAAACGTTTCCGCATCACCTCTCTCACTCACTCACCTCCGCTGCTCTGTCCTGCAGGTCAGCATCAGGAACCAGCTCAGACATCTTCACCACATCCTGAGAGATCTTTCCTGCAAGTTACCGGGGGAGCATTGGACGGAAAAAAAAGGGGGGGGGGGGGGAGACATTGTTAAGTCTCATTATAGCAGGCATGTAATGCAGTCGTCTCTCACCCTCAGACTCGCTCAACCTCTCCCTCCCTCCTCATTGCTCTCTTCCACTCACTCAGTGCAGACACAAGGTCAGACGAGGAGCGGGAGTCTGAAGGCTGCATGCAACGCTGCAGGTGAATGAAGGCTGCATCATCATTCACCTGCAGGTCAGACGAGGAGCGGGAGTTTGAATGAATGATGCACCCCCCTCGCTCACCCTGCCTCTCTTGCACCCCCTCATCCTCGCTCACCCTGCCTCTCTTGCACCCCCTCATCCTCGCTCGGTCACAAACCAAGCTTCCTCCTTTCATCCACTCCTTTCCATTGTGATTCTCCCCCCCCCCCCACTCACTGAGTGCACACACAAGGTCAGAAGGGGACTGGGAGTCTGAAGGCTGCATGCACCATGCTGCAGGTGAATGATGTATCATGTACCCCCCTCACTCACTCCCCTCCCTCACACCGTCTCATCATCTCTCAACCTCCAAGCTTCCTCCTTTCATCCACTCCTTTCCATTGTGATTCTCACCCTCCCCCCACTCACTCAGTGCAAATACGAGGTCAGAGGAGGATCGGGAGTCTGAAGGCTGCATGCAGCGTTGCAGATACGTGATGTACCCCTCACGCTCATGCTCCACCCACTCCTTTCCATTCTGGTTCTTCCCGTCACCTTTACCCCCTTACACTCACTCAGTGCAAATACGAGGTCAGAGGAGGAGCGGGAGTCTGAAGGCTGCATGCAGCGTTGCAGGTATGTGATGTACCTGGTGGGGGGGATGGGGGGGGGATAGGCATTCCACAAGTAATGTGTTGCAGAGTAAAAGGCTGCATGCAGCGTTGCAGGTATGTGATGTACCTGGTGGGGGCGAAGGGGAGATGAGGTGGGGCGGGGGGATTGAGGAGGAAAAGCCAGGATATGCACATTTTACGAGCTGTGCCATCTCTATCACGACTTACTAGCTGAACAGAGGGTGAGTGGCATCAGTGAGCCTGTGACTTATCTTCCCCCATGAGGGTCCTGTGCTGCTCAGTAGGTCACGAGTCTCTAACGTACTAGGCCACGTGCCACAGTCATACTAGTTGAACAGAGGGTGAGTGGCATCAGTGAGCCTGTGACTTATCTTCCCCCATGAGGGTCCTGTGCTGCTCAGTAGGTCACGAGTCTCTAACGTACTAGGCCACGTGCCACAGTCATACTAGTTGAACAGAGGGTGAGTGGCATCAGTGAGCCTGTGACTTATCTTCTCCCATGAGGGTCCTGTGCTGCTCAGTAGGTCACGAGTCTCTAACGTACTAGGCCACGTGCCACAGTCATACTAGTTGAACAGAGGGTGAGTGGCATCAGTGAGCCTGTGACTTATCTTCCCCCATGAGGGTCCTGTGCTGCTCAGTAGGTCACGAGTCTCTAACGTACTAGGCCACGTGCCACAGTCATACTAGTTGAACAGAGGGTGAGTGGCATCAGTGAGCCTGTGACTTATCTTCCCCCATGAGGGTCCTGTGCTGCTCAGTAGGTCACGAGTCTCTAACGTACTAGGCCACGTGCCACAGTCATACTAGTTGAACAGAGGGTGAGTGGCATCAGTGAGCCTGTGACTTATCTTCTCCCATGAGGGTCCTGTGCTGCTCAGTAGGTCACGAGTCTCTAACGTACTAGGCCACGTGCCACAGTCATACTAGTTGAACAGAGGGTGAGTGGCATCAGTGAGCCTGTGACTTATCTTCCCCCATGAGGGTCCTGTGCTGCTCAGTAGGTCACGAGTCTTTAACGTACTAGGCCACGTGCCACAGTCATACTAGTTGAACAGAGGGTGAGTGGCATCAGTGAGCCTGTGACTTATCTTCCCCCATGAGGGTCCTGTGCTGCTCAGTAGGTCACGAGTCTCTAACGTACTAGGCCACGTGCCACAGTCATACTAGTTGAACAGAGGGTGAGTGGCTTCAGTGAGCTTGTCCCCTCCCATGGGGAATATCCCATGATCACTTGATCATGTGTTCCTTACTGTACCACATGTCACTACCACACTAAGCCACGCGACACTACCTTGCTGTGCCACATGGCACATTCTTACTCGTTGAAGAGGGAGCGGGTGGCCTCAGTGAGCTTGTCCCCGCCCATGGGGAATATCCCTCGGAAGGACGCTGCAGTGCGCTCAAAATCGTCCATGAAGTCCTGAAAGAGACGGGAAGATCAAAGGAGTTTGCACGACAGCAAGCAGAGGCTTAGCTGGTCAGCAGATGCGGCTGCGCGCTCAAAATCGTCCATGAAGTCCTGAAAGGGAGAGGGGGAGGGAGAGAAGGAGAAGGACGAAATGAGCAGGACAGCGAGAGAAGGAATAGGTCGTAAGCCAAACCCACCCATGGGGAATATCCCTCGGAAGGACGCTGCAGTGCGGTCGAAATCGTCCATGAAGTCCTGAGAGGGGGAGATGGAGAGACTGGTTTTCACAGGGCGCAGGCAAGCATGCACAACAGAAAGCGAAGGAATAGCTGGTCCGGTCTGGTCTGGTTAGCGACACGACACCGCCCAGGGCCCAAATCCCATGGGGAATATCCCTCGGAAGGACGCGGCAGTGCGGTCGAGATCTTCCATGAAGTCCTCCTGAGTAATAGAGGGAGGGAGTATGCATAGATAGAGCAAAGGCATGCATGGCAGCAAGGGAAGGAAGGAACAGACGGTCAGCAACGCAGCCCACTGCAAGCCCTCCCATGGGGAATATCCCTCGGAAGATGCGGCAGTGCGCTCGAGATCTTCCATGAAGTCTCTGCAAGCCCTCCCGTGGGGAATACTCTCATCAGCCATGAAGACCAGGTGTATTTTGAGTCGACTCAAAATACACCTGGACAAGCTGACACACGGGAAGGCGAGCTTCGATCGCCTGGAAGTTACCTAGCAAGCCCTCTCATGGGGAATACTCTCATCAGCCATGAAGACTGGGAGAGCTGTAGTTAAGGAGAAAAAATCGTAGTCAGAAGAAAAACAGTAGAGTGTTTCTACTTCTTGATATCTTGGCTAAATACCTAAAATTGAGAAACTGAGCTCTTAGTCTACTAAAAAGACCAAAACAGGGCAAACATGTTTCGGACGACTGGGACAGACAGACCCCATGTCTGCGCAGTTTTGATATTTTTAGTGGACATAGAGCTCAGTGGACAGGGACATTTTCAATCCCAGCTTATTTTTGAGAATTCTCAAAAATACTCTACATCGCCTGGGACAGACAGACCCCATGTCTGCGCAGTTTTGATATTTTTAGTGGACATAGAGCTCAGTGGACATGGATATTTTCAATCCCAGCTTTTACTGGACTTGAGCTCAGCTCCGTTTTCCAATCCTCAGGTCTGTGAGGGAGCAGCGGGATCGGATCGACCACGCCGCTCACCTCCTCCATCCTGCCCACCTCGTCGCTCGCCTGCCTCAACTCCCCCATCAGCCGTTCCCAGGTGACTTCTCAGTCAACCAAACCACGTGCCTGCCTCAGCTTTCCCACCAGCCGGCCCGGCACTCTCCCTTCCCCACCATACTCCACCCGCCTTTCCCATCCCATGTACTCACCCGCTTGAGCACAGCACACCAACAAAGGTCTGCGAGGGAGCAGTGGGGTCAATCACGCAGCAGCTCTCCTCTTTCCTCCCCACCTCGTCACTCCCCTCTGCCTCACATCCCCCAACCAGCCTGCACCCTCCCCCACCTCACTCCACTCCACCCTTCCCCACCCCACTCCGCCCTTCTTTTTCTGCTACTCACCCGCTTGAGCACCGCAACAAAGGTCTGAGAGGGAGCAGTGGGGTCAACCACGCCGTCCTCCCCCTTGCAGCCCACCTCCTCACTCGCCTACCTGAGTGCTCCCACCTGCCTGCACCCTTCCCCACCTCACTCCACCCTCCTGCTTCCTAGGTACTCACCCTTTTGAGGGCGTCAACGAAGGTCTGAGAGGGAGCAGTGGGGTCAACCACGCCGTCCTCCCCCTTCCTGCCCACCTCCTCATTCGCCCCTGCCTCAGCTCCCCCACCAGCCTGCACCCTCCCCCACCGCACTCCACCCTCCTCCCACCCTCCTCCCACCCTCCTCCACCCACTACTCACCCTCTTGAGTGCCGCAACGAAGGTCTGCGAGGGAGCAGTCGGATCAACCATGCCGTCCTCCCCTTTCCTGCCCACCTCCTCGCTTGCCTGCCGCAGCTCCCCAATCAGCCGCTCCCAGTGCGTCGACAAATACGCGTCCATGAGAGGGCCCACCTGTGGGGTGTGTGTGTGTGTGTGTGTGTGTGTGTGTGTGTGTGTGTGTGTGTGTGTGTGTGTGTGTGTGTGGTGTGTGTGGGCAGGTAAGGGGGTTGAAACGAATTGGTTTAGGGTTTTTTCTCGCCCTTCCTACCCACCTCGTCACTTGCCTACCTCAGCTCCCCCACCAGCTGCTCCCAGTGCGTTGACACAATTATGCGTCCATAAGAGGGCCCACCTGTGAGTTGAGGGCACGAGGTGAGAGGTGGGCGTGGGTGTAAAAGAGGATAGTCTGGAACTTGGCCTCCTTCCTCCTCCTCTGCCTGCCTGCCTGCCTGCCTGCCTGCCTGCCTGCCTGCCTGCCTGCCTGCCTTTCCTACCTGCCTCCCCTGCACCTGCCTGCCTCAGCTGCTCCCCCCACCAGGCACTCCCAGTGCATTGAAAGGTACGTGTCCATTGAGCCTATTTTTTAGTCGAATCAAAAATACTGCCTGCCTCAGCTCCCCCACCACCAGACGCTCCCAGTGCATTGACAGATGCGTGTCCATTGGGCGGGCCAACCTGGGGTCCTGGTGATGTGTGTGCGTGCATGGGAAAGGAAATGGATTGGCCTTAGCCCAAAGTTAACGCCAGTCAACGCCAAGTCAACCCCCAAGTCAACGCCAGTCAACGCGCTCACCTGGTGGCCCAGCTCCTGCAGCAGCTCAGCAGCTTCGGCCCTCTGCTCCATCGCCTCCTCCTCACTCATCACCCACACCTGCAGCAGCCCCTATTATCAGGGCCCAATACCAAGTCAACGCGAGTAAACACCAATTCAAGCTCAAGTCAACGCCAGTCAAGCGCTCACCTGGTGGCCCAACTCCTGCAGCAGCTCAGCAGCTTCAGCCCTCTGCTCCATAGCCTCCTCCTCACTCATCACCCGCGCCTGCAGCCTCTTGCTGATGCCAGCCATGACGTCATCAGCCTCCTTCTTGCATGTTCTAAAGGAGGTCTCGCCATAGGACTGAATGGGAGGGGGGAAGAGGGAAGGCAGGGCAGGGGAGCAGAAGGGTATGGACGCGGAAATTCGGTGTTGAGGCTTGTTTGTTGATGTGGAGGGCGGGTGTTTAACGTGTAGCGTTGAGGATTGTTGTGCCAAGAGCGATTTGCCAGAAAGAGGAACCTGTAGCCTCTCTCTGATGATGCCAGCCATGACGTCATCAGCCTCCTTCTTGCATGTCCGGAAGGAATTTTCCCCATAGGACTGCAACAGAGGGGGAGGGGAGGGGAAGGGGGGAGAAGGGAGTTGGGGGGGAGGGGAGGGAGAAGGGAGAGGGTGCGAGGGTGTTGGGGGAGAGGAGGGGGATAAGGTAGAGGAGGGAAGGAACATCTAAACAGATAAAGCCCCACGGGAGAGAAGAGCCAGCAGCCTCTTGCTGATGCCAGCCATGACGTCATCAGCCTCCTTCTTGCATGTCCGGAAGGGGGTTTCACCATAGGACTGAATGGGGAAGAGGGGGAGGGGAGGAGGGGAAGGGGGCAAAAGGGATGGGGGGGGGGGGAGGGGGGGAGGGAGAAGGGAGAGGGTGTGACGGGGATGGGGAGGGGAGGGGGGTGATGTAGAGGAAGTGGGTGGAACGTTTAAAGAGATTAAGCCACGCGGGAGAGTAGAGCCTGCAGCCTCTTGCTGATGCCAGCCGTGACGTCATCAGCCTCCCCCCCCTGCTTGCATGCTCGGAAGGAGGTCTCGCTGCCATAGGACTCAACGAGAAGAAGAAGAAGCAACGACAAACCAACGACAAGCCAGAGGCAAACCAGTGACAGGCTACTCAATTTCACCTCACCTGGAGAATGCGTTTTTTGAGAAATCTAAAAAAACGCACGCTCAAACCAGCGACAGGCCAGAGGCAAACCAGTGACAAGCCAGAGGCAAACCAGTGACGAGCCAGAGGCAAACCAGCGACAGGCTACTCGATTTCACCTCACCTGGAGGATGGGAAGAGCCCCCACGTAAGCCCTGACTGCTGCGCGGTACTGGTGGTTCTTGGAGTAGGTCCTCAGGCGCTTGGGCAGGTCGAATATGAACTGCGAGGGAGAGAGAACAAGACATGGAGGGGCGGAAGGAGGCAAGGAGAGGCGAAGGGGGGATCCTCAGCATTGAATCACGGTACTGGTGGTTCTTGGAGTAGGTCCTCAGGCGCTTGGGCAGGTCGAATATGAACTGCGAGGGAGGACAATTAAGATGGGGAAAGGGAAACGGAGAGACAGTGATGGCTTTTGAGAATTTTCAAAAGCGATTCCCAGACAGTGATGGGAAGGCATGAGAGATCATGGTGGGCCTCAAATTCAAGAGAGCACTGAATTTGAACGGTGCTGGTGGGCCTTGGCTGGGAGCCAGCAGGCTGAGTCCGCCATTCAGCTGATGCAAGCACAGCCTCGTTTACCCTAAACCCTGAATCAACAATGAAATGCGCCCAACCCAACCTTACCCCACCCCACCCCACCCCACCCCATCCTACCGGTGAGCCTTTCTCAGCAGGCTGTGCGCTGCGTTGAGCTGTAAGCACAGGCTGGTGCCAGAAATACACCCAACCCAGCCCATCCAACCCAACCCGACACAACCCAACCGAACCTACTCCCACCTGTGCTTTCCTGAGCAGGCTGCGAGTGCCGTTGAGCTGCTCGATACGTTCCCTCCTCTCCGACAGATTGCTGTTGATGGCCGTGCTCTGCTCCTGCACTGTCGTCACCTGTGAGATGGAAGGGGGGCGGGAGGAAAGGATGGTTGGGAGGGGTGCAAGTGAATGTGAGTCACCTGTCCGCTCCCTCATCTTCAACAGATTGCTGTTGATGGCCGTGCTCTGCTCCTGCACTCTCGTCACCTGGGAGAGGGGAAAGGGGGTTGGGGTGAGAGGGAGGGGGAGAGGGAGGGAAGGAAGGTTAAGCTAAGGACGGGAAGGACTCTTCTATTCCACGACACGTCAACGTAAGGCCATTCAATGGGGTCAATCAAAGCCAACGAGAGTCAAGGGAGTCAAACAGGGCGCAGATTCGCCTACTGTGTGTGTGTGTGAACAACCGTGTATCCCCATTTTATTCATTTACTTAATTATTCTTATCTAATGAATTCAAGCACACATACCGTGCGTAGCAGCTGGTCCATACTGGACTCCATGCTCGCAACATTGTCCTTCATGCTGGAGGGGGGTGGGTAGAGGCCGGGGGAGAGGGAGGGGGCAAAGAGAGGATGGGAAGTGGAGAGGGAGGGTGAGTTGGGGGGAAAGCAGCAGCAGCAGCAGCAGCAGCTGATCCAGACTGGACTGGACTCCTCCATGCTCGCCACGTTGTCCTTCATGCTGATGGGGGGTTGGGGGTGGCAGGGGGGAGAGGGAAGGGGCAAAGAGAAGGGTGAGAAGGGTGAGAAGGGTGAGAAGGGTGAGAAGGGTGAGAAGGGTGACTGCGACAGAACGAAGCAGCAGCTGGCCCATGCTCGATTCCATGCTCGCAACATTGTCCTTCATACTGATGGGGGCGGTTGCATGGGGCCCGGAAGGGGGCGAAGGTGTAAAGGAATGAGGGAATCAAGGAGAGGGTGAGTGGATGGGAAGCAGCAGCTGGACCATACTGGACTCCATGCTCGCCACGTTGTTCTCACTCACTCACTCACTCAATCACTCACTCACTCACTCACTCACTCACTCGCTCACTCACTCACTCACTCACTCACTCACTCACTCACTCACTCACTCACTCGCTCACTCACTCACTCACTCACTCACTCGCTCACTCACTCACTCACTCACTCGCTCACTCACTCACTCACTCACTCACACTCACTCTCTCACTCACGTGCGGATGGTGTCGGTAGCACTGATGAACTTGCTGTAATTCTCGTAAACCAGCATCTGCATGTCACTGTCCAGGTTCTTGATCTCTGCCGCCCACGACACGTGCTTCTGTAACAAATCGTCCAGCTTGGCTTGTCGGATCTGAGAGGGGGATTGGAATTGGGATATGCAAGGGAGTGCAGGGAAGGAGGGAATGAAAGAGCGAACCGGGAGCAAGGGGGACGGCAGCAGCACCAGCATCTGCATGTCACTGTCCAGGTTCTTTATCAATGCTGCCCATGACACGTGCTTCTGTAGCAAATCACCTAGCTTGGCTTGCCGGATCTGAGTGGGGAATAGGATTTCAGATTTAAAAGGCATGGAGGGAAGGAGGGAACGAATGAGCGAACAAGGAGAATGAATGGGCGTAGGGAGATGTCACTGCAGCAGCAGCACGCAAAACAAGAGCGTTTGCATGTCCCACTCCAGGTTTTTTTATTTTCACATGAGTGTTTGAAAGGGTTCCACTCACGAATTAACAACTATTCAATGCCTGCTCTTAAGCTATGTACATAGCTGAAGCTATGTACACATTCCTGTGCTTCAGTTCTCACACCTCTCGTACGTCCCCGCTATTGACGCACCAGGTTTGCTACAAACGAGTCCGCGTCAAACGCTCGCGAATTGATGTCGTCGCGACCCCCCGAACTTCCTGCCGCCGATCCCGCCGCGTCTTCCGCTCCCGGAGCTCCACCCCCGTGCCCGTAATACCCTTCTAATAGGCTCTTAACGCGCCTCGCGCGGTCCTCCGGCGCGCCGCCGCCATTCCCGCCGGAAATCCCGCGAGAGGTTGGGCCAAGGGCGGGAGAGAACTGACGGCCGCCGGCTGATGAAATCGAATCTCCCGAAGCGCCGGTTACTGACGTGTAACGCACGCCGCGACCCGCGGGAGCGTCCATTGGGAACGACGCGCCTGGAACGAGCCGCTCAGACGCAATGGAAAACAAGAACCAAAGACGCGGCACGTCACAGCGGTGAGCTTGAAAGCTTTTTGGTTAGATTTCGGGTACAGCATTCAGACTGACTGAACAACGGTTAGTTCGTGAATCTCTATGTAGCTCTGAACTAGCAAACTCGTTATTCGGAATATGTGAAAACCTAGTACACTCGCTTCAGTTCTTCTATGATGGGGTTCAATATCTGCAGTCTGGAGGCACCTAAGAATTACAAAGATATTCTGCATCTTTTGTTTATTGACACCATGCATCAGTAGAATTACAGCATCATAACAACCTCCACTTCTTTGGAGTTGAGTGGCTCCAATTCGACATTAGACTTCTTATATCGAAGCATGCAGAACCCGACTTGGTCCCATGCGAAATCAATAGCATAAGCTACAGTGAAGAGACCAATCATAACTGCAAATGCGATGTAATACCACTGCACACAATCAAGCACAGGATAAAAAAGGGGAGGAGAACGAGAGAAGTGGAAGGGGGGGAAGGAGCAAAGGAACATGTTGCTCCAAGCCATTGCCACAATCGATATCCAAGTCACATCACCACACACCATAGCCCCAGCCACACACCATGCACGCGGCCACTCACTTCAAGTTTGTAGCCGAATTTGCTGCTTGCAATGTCAAGCCCAAGGAACATGTTGCTCCAAGCCATTCAATAAGTAGGCCCACAAACCGCATCTCACACAGAACAAAAAGGGGGTCGCCAGATTTACCTCAAAGTTGTAGCCGAATTGATTGCTTGCAAGGTCAAGGCCAAGGAAAATGTTGCTCCAAGCCATTGCCACAATCGAGATTCAAGTCGTGAGGCAACCACACCCATGCATGCCCCCAATCACTTCAAGGTTGTAGCCGAATTTGCTGCTTGCAAGGTCAAGCCCAAGAAACATGTTGCTCCAAGCCATTGCCACAATCGCCATTCCCACCACCCAATGCAGCGCGAACCAATAGCGTCGCAACACATGGCCCTTGACCGGCCTCAGCTGGCCTATGATTGGCTGGAGCACGATCAGCAGCAGCACGGCCAATCCCAGCCTGCCATGTGTCGACTGCAGTGAGCTCGATCCTTTTTGGACAAACGCCATGATGATTCCGACCAATGAGAGCACGACAGCGAGGAGCATGATCCACTTGTGGGCGCTGAATGCATGTGCCTTGCTAATCCAAGGCTTTCCCCTGCTTGCAGTGGTAGTATCTAGCATCCCTGTTCCTGCTGCTGCTTCTTCTGCTGCTGCTGCTGCTGCTGCTGCATCTGCTGCTGCTGCTGCTGCTGCTTCTGCTGCTGCTGATGCTTTTCCTGCTTCTCCTGAGGCGTACACTACAGCATCTCTTGCTGATTTCAGATGCATATGCTCAAAATCCCTTTCTTCGTGCAGCGCTGGCTGACCTGAAAGCCCTAATCTTCCTCCCATTGCTTCCGCTTCCCTTGCTTCCGCTTCTGCCTGTGCAGCTGCTGCAGCAGGGTCTGAAGCAGGCTTGTCAGAGAGGAATATCCTCGATATAAGCATGGCAGCAGGCATGAGAATGCCGAAAGCTACAGTGAGAATCCACCCGTGCGCCATATAGAGTGTTTCGGCGCTGCTGCTTGATTCCTCAACCTCCACTGTGCCTGAAACGAAGTTGATTGTAACGGATCCTCTGCTTGTAAGGCAAGGGTATGAAACGGGATGAGGTGGAATGGGGTGGGATGGGATGGGATGTGATTGGGTGGGGTGGGGTGAGGAGGGGTTGGAAGAGGCATGAGAATGACGAAAGCTAAAGTGAGGATCAACCCGTGGGCCGCATGTAGCCTTTCAACATTGCTGCTTGATTCCTCAACCTCCACTGTGCCTGAAACGTGATTGATTGTAACGAAGCCTCTGTTTGTATGCCAAAGGTACACTCGTTGGGCCCGTGGTCGTCCAGTTGCAGCGAGTCGGAGCAGGAGAAGGCTCAGAGCACCCAAGCCCAACCTCACGATACTATAACCCCCTACCTTCTCCCCCCCATGCACGCACGACACTCACTCGTTGGGCCCGTGGTCGGCCAGTTGCAGCGAGTCGGAGCGGGAGAAGGCCCAGATCATGCTGGTGGCGCCGCTGCTGCTGATGGGGACCGCTCCCACTGACAGGGGCCGCTCAAATCTGCGCGGGGGAACGGGAACGGAAGGGAACGGAAGGGAAGGGAAGGGAAGGGAAGGGAAGGGAAGGGAAGGGACACGTCAGACCTAGAGAATGCCCAGAGCGGGCAATTCCTCCCACTGAGAGGGGCCGCTCGAAGCTGCAATTGCGTAGAGGGTAGGATGAAGTAAGGGGGGACAAAAGAGGGGCAGAGGTTGAGGGATAAGATGGGGGGAAAGGGAAGGGGGTTTGAGGGATAAGATGGGGGGAAAGGGAAGGGGGTTTGAGGGATAAGATGGGGGGAAAGGGAAGGGGTGTGCGGGGTCAGACCCTTAGAAGGCCCAGAGCACGCTGGTGGCGCCGCTGCTGCTGCTGATAGGCACTGGTCCCACCGAGAGGGGCCGTTCGAAGCTGCGGGGGTGGAATGGAGGTTGAGGGATAAGAAGGGGGGAAAGGGAAGGGGTGTGCGGGGTCAGACCCTTAGAAGGCCCAGAGCACGCTCGTGGCACTGCTGAGAGGTGGGGGGAAGGGTTGGAGGTCAGGGTTAGAGGTCAGGGTTAGAAGCGGGGGGAAGGGTTAGAGGTGGGGGGAAGGGTTAGAGGTGGGGGAAAGGGTTAGAGGTGGGGGGAAGGGTTAGAGGTGGGGGGAAGGATTGGGAAAAAGGGCTCTATAGTTCTACATGATTGTCAATGCCGGTGCAGCTGATGCTCAGAGGGAGGGAGAATGTAAGATAAGGGGGCGAGAAAACCACAAGCCAAAGACAAAAACTTTGGACTTATGTCAGGAATGGGATTCGAACCCATGCCCTTTCGGACCAGTACCTGAAACTGGCGCCTCAGACCATCTCGGCCATCTTGACACTTTCACCCCATGAACAACAGTACTGTAATGTTAGGGAATCTGTCTCACTTATTGCACAGGAGAGGAGCGTAGAGAGGATTTAGGGTAGAAAAATTAATCCGACCACTCAGGTTGGATAAAGAAACATTAGAAAACGCTCGACACTTACGTCATGGTAGTTCTCCCATTCACTGTGGTGGTTGTCGTGCTGGTCAGCTCGAACGATGACGTCAGCGCCACATCAGACAGGCCATACCCGCTGAGGTGGTACGCGCCCACCGCCGCCCTGTCGGCGAGAGTGCCACGTGGCAGATTTCCAATGGCTGCGTCCGCGGGGTACATCTTGCCGCTGCTGGACCATCCAACCGCCACCCAACCAGACGTCGCCACATCAGCAGCCATTGCTATTGTATCTGCCCCGGCTTTCCAGTGAAGGATGAAACTGGACCGGGGGGAAGGGACACAGGACAGGGGGATGGAAGAGAGCATGAGAATTTTTTTTTTTCTGCCCCACTCATATTCATCCCTGCTCTACTCACCCTTTCCCTGCCCCACTCACTCGCTGCCTTGAAGCATCAACAGTCCCTCGCATTGTTAATGGAGCATCAGCCTGCATTGACGCCTCCCATGCCTGAGGGACAGCGTTGAAGTCTGAAGGACAGCGTTGAAGTCTGAGCATCTATTACAGCCTATACCATAGTACCATCGGCACTCACTCTCTCCCCTCTTCCCCATCCCACTGACCCATTGCCTTTGAGTCAAATGGAGCACGCATATTCAGGCAGGGGTGACGGCTTACATGCCACGACGCCACTCACTCTCCCCATCCCCACTCACTCATTGCCTTTGAGTCAAACCGTGCACGCATAGACAGGCAGAGGTGACCCCTCACATGCCACACTGCTCCTGCCACGGCCGCTCACTCTTTCACGACACCTGCCCTTACCCACTCACTCTACCGTTACTCACTCACTCTACCGTTACCCACTCAATCTACCATTACCCACTCACTCTACCGTTACTCACTCACTCTACCATTACCCACTCACTCTACCGTTACCCACTCACTCTACCATTACCCACTCACTCTACCATTACCCACTCACTCTCCCCTTACCCACTCACTCTCCCCTTACCCACTCACTCTACCCTTACCCACTCACTCTGCCCTTACCCACTCACTCTGCCCTTACCCACTCACTCTGCCCTTACCCACTCACTCATTGCCTTTGAGTCGAATGGAGCACGCATATCCAGGCAGGGATGACGGTTCGTGTGATGAGGTTGTTTTTGAGACGTCTCAAAAACAACCTCATCACGCGCATATCCAGGCAGGGATGACGGTTCACATGCCACGCTGCCCCTCCCACTGCCGCTGCTGCTGTCACTGTCAGAAGAGACTGCTGACGTGGATGCCAATGATTGGTTTCCTCCATCATCCTCCTTATGAGCATCACCGTTATCATCACCATCATTATCCACCTCCCCAAACCTATCATAATATGTATCCGCATCATCATCATCCCCCCTCTCAACGTTTTCCTTATCACTATCATCATCACCATCACCATCACCATCACCATCACCATCACCATCACCATCACCATCACCGCACATTTGAGGAGCCAATACCCCCGTTCCCGTATCTATCATCCTCGTCATCATCATCATCATCATTAGTATTACCATTACCATTACCACCATCCATAACATCATCCCCATCATCATCATCATCATCTTTATCACTATGCCCTTCCTTCCATCGCCCGAAATCTTTCTCGTCTCCCTCCTCATCATCATCATCCCCACCATCACCCCACCTCTCAAATTCACCCTCATCCCCATCATCATATGCATCATCATCATCATCATCATCATCATCATCATCATCATCATCATCATCATCATCATCATCATCATCATCATCATCATCATCATCATCATCATCATCATCATCATCATCATCATCATCATCATCATCATCATCATCATCATCATCATCATCATCATCATCATCATCATCATCACCATCATCACCATCATCACCATCATCACCATCCATGCCAGCATCATTGCCACCACCACCACCATCGCCACCACCACTGCCGTTACCACCACCACCTCCTCCTCCTTGTGAGCTGGAAGGTGCAGACGCACATGAGAAGTCCACATTCATTGAACCTCTGAGTAACAGGATGGAACGGGATGGGAAGAAACGTCAGAGTGGGATTAGGTTTCTCATTTTTCCACCTTCTGAGCTACTGGGTGCAGCCGCACAGGAGGCGTCCAGATTCATTGAACCTCTGAGTAATTGGATGGAACGGATGGACAGAAACGTCAGAGTGGGATTAGGTTTCTCATTTATCACCTACTGAGCTACTGGGTGCAGCCGCACAGGAGGCGTCCAGATTCATTGAACCTCTGAGTAATTGGATGGAACGGATGGACAGAAACGTCAGAGTGGGATTAGGCTTCTCATTGATCACCTTCTGAGCCAGAGGGTGCAGCCGCACAGGAGAAGTCCAGATTCATTGAACCTCTGAGTAATTGGATGGAACGGATGGACAGAAACGTCAGAGTGGGATTAGGCTTCTCATTGATCACCTTCTGAGCCAGAGGGTGCAGCCGCACAGGAGAAGTCCAGATTCATCGAACCTCACTCTACCACTGACCACACTCACTCACAAACTCTCTCACTCACTCACGTGTTGTTCCCGTGGAACACCAGCTCAGTCGATCCAGACTCACCAATATCGGCTCCTCACACATACCTCTCTCATTCACCCACTCTCTCACCCACTCTCTCACTCACTCTCTCACTCACTCACTCACTCACTCACTCCCTCACTCAATCACTGACTCCCTCACTCACGCGTTGTTGCAGTGGAAAGCCAAGTCTGTCGATCCAGACTCAGAGAAAGCCCAGATGATGATGTTGCTGCCACTGCCCACCAATCGGCTCCTTACTCATGTCACTCACTCATTTCACTCTCACTCACTTTACTCTCTCACTGACTTCCTCACTCACGCGTTGTTGCCATGGAAAGCCAGGTCAGTCAATCCAGACTCAGAGAAAGCCCAGATGATGCTGTTGCTGCCACTGCCCACCATTATCGGCTCCTTACTTATTTCACTCTCACTCATTTCACTCTCACTCATTTCACTCTCACTCATTTCACTCTCACTCTATTCACTCTCACTCATTTCACTCTCACTCATTTCACTCTCACTCTATTCACTCTCACTCATTTCACTCTCACTCATTTCACTCTCACTCTATTCACTCTCACTCATTTCACTCTCACTCATTTCACTCTCACTCATTTCACTCTCACTCACTTTACTCTCTCACTGACTCCCTCACTCACGCGTTGTCGCCATGGAAGGCCAGCTCAGTCGATCCAGACGCAGAGAAAGCCCAGATGAGGCTGTTGCTGCAGCTGATACTCACCACTATAGGGCCCATACTCATTTCACTCACTCACTCATTTAAGCACTGACTCCTCTCACTCACGCGTTGTTGCCGTGGAAGGCCAGCTCAGTCGATCCAGACTCAGAGAAAGCCCAGATGAGGTTGCTGCTGCCACTGAAACTCACTGGTACCGTCCCACCGTCCCCTCGAAAACGAGAGAACCTGCCGTCAGGAGAGAGGGGGACGGGGGGGAATAGAGGGGGAGAGAGGTGGGGACGGAAGGGGGATAGAGCCCAGATGAGGCTGTTGCTGCCACTGAAACTCACTGGTACCGTCCCTCCGTCCCCTCGAAAACGAGAGAACCTGCAATCAGGAGAGAGGGTGGGTCGGGGGGTAAAGCCCAGATGCTGCTGCTGCTGCCACCGAAACTCACTGATACCGCCCCTCCGTCTCCCCTTAATCGAGATAACCTATAGGCAGGCGTGGGGTAGCTCGAGGGTGGGCGGGAATTGAGGAGAGAGTGGGTGGGAAGAGAGCGGGAAACCCAGATGCTGCTGCTGCTGTTGCTGTTGCTGTTGCTGTTGCTGTTGCTGTTGCTGCCATTACTTTCAGTACGCGCTCTCTCAACTCCGTCATCTCACTTGTTTCCTCACTGCATAACTCTCCTGCCGCCATTAATTTCCACGCCCCCTCTCTCAAATCGTATTATGATCTCACTTTCTTTCTCCTCTCCTTACAATCCTCCCGCCATTGCTTTCAACGCGGAGTTAAAGCCCTCCTTCCTTTGTTTCCTCACCTTATAATACTCCCGCCATTGCTCCCCCCTGACAGCACAGGCCTTCCGATCTTGAACCTATCAGAAGGCGCCACGTCAGACTGGCTGTACCCGGAGATCTGATACGCGCGCACGCTGCTTCCCGGAAGGTTCCCGACCACGCAATCCGCGGGGTACATACGGCCACGGTTTGCCGTCCAGCCGACGGAGAACCAGCCGGACTCGGCCCCACTGGCGGGTTTGGCTTCTAGTGCGACTTGCAGGCGCGAGGCGTTGCGGGTCCAATGCAGCACGAGACTGGGGGAGGATGGGGGGTTTGTGAAAGGAGGTGGTTGAGGGGGGGAGGGGGGGGGAGGGGGGGGGGGGAGAAATGGGGGGAACTGGGTGAAGTCCGTGCGGGTTGGAGCTGCAGGCGCGAGGCGTTGCGGGTCCAATGCAGCACGAGACTGGGGGAGACACGGGGAAAGAAGCGCGGGAAAAGTGGCAGGTTGGAGAGTGAACGACAGCCCGTCCAGCACTTTTGAGTCGACACAAAAGTCAACGCAGCACGAGACTGGGGGAGGCATGGGAAAAGAGGCGGGTTACAGAGTGAACGACGGCCCGTCCAGCCGAGGGAGAACCAGCCGGACCGGGCCCCACTGGCGGGTTTGGCTTCTAGTGCAATCTGCAAATGAGAGGCGTTGCGCGCCCAGTGCGGCACGAGACTGGAGGGGGAAGAGGGGAGAGGAAGAGGAAAGGGGGAAATTGGTGAAGGCCGCGCGGGTTCGAGGTGCGAGGTGTAGCGCGCCCAGTGTAGCACCAGACTGGAGTGGGGGGGGGGGGGGAGGGAAAAAGGGGAAGGCGGGGAGCGGGGAAAAGGGAAAATTGGGCGAGGGACGTGCGGATTGGGGGTGACTTTTGAGTCGACTCAAAAGTCACCTTGAAAAAGGGGAAGGCGGGGAGCGGGGAAGAGGGAAAATTGGGCGAGGGACGTGCGTATAGGGGGTGATGGTGACAGGCGTTGCGCGCCCAATGCAGCATGAGACCGGGGGCGGTGGACGGGAAGGGGGAAGGGGGAAGGGTGTGGAAGGGGAGCGAGGAGGGGGAGGGAGTGGGGAAGGGGCAGGGGTCAGGTGGGAGGGTTCCTGCTGAGTCAGCGTTGGTGGGAAAAGAGAGTCAGCAGCTGTGGTGAGCACGTCCAGTTCGATTAATTCATTCAACGTTTCTTTCACTCAACACTCGAAAGCGCATGTTATCTGCACCCATTTCGACCCATTTCCACTCACCCATTCCCCGAAAGATCAACGGAATTGGTGAACCCCCGCAGGGTAGACGGCTCGCATAGCGCTCCGCCATAAGCCACGGACGCGCCGACCAACATATGAAGCACGACACGTGGCAGACACGCGTCGAGCACGCGTCTCGTGAAAAACATTACGGCAAGCTTTCCAGTTGCCGCGTATTGCTTGAAGAGTCTTTAAAAAGGCTAAAAGGCAAGAACTATTAACTTCAAATGGCAGATCTAGCCCTATTAGTGCGGCGCCTTCAACACGAGTTGACTTCTGAGTCGACTTAAAATTCAACTCTTGGAGAAACTGCACTCAAAATGGAAACTCTAGCCCTACTAGAGCGGCGACTTCAACACGAGTTTAACTATTGAGTCGACTTAAAAGTCAACTCTTGGATACACTGGAACCTCAAATGGATAATCTAGCTTCAATAGAGCGCCTGCTCTTCAAGACTCGTAAGTCGCGCCTCGACTTGTTGTGGCCGTCACTCCTCCCCGCGTTATTCGGCGTATACGTTGCGCGATGAGGCTACGGGAACGGAATAATCAGTATCGGGACCAGCATTATCTAAAGACTCCTGAAACTGCGGCAGTGTTCTTTTCCCGAAAGCTCTCTCTCTTACTCTCCATCTGCTGAAAGAACTCGAGTTCCTAACTGCTGTTTGAAAAATAAGGCAGGCAGGGCGACCAGCCAATAGCCAACAGCAAAGAGGTAGCAATTCCCTTCCCTTCCCCCGTTCAGCCCTACTTCCCCCAAACCTGCGCTGTACAGAACAAAGCTGGAAATGTCCAGATGGCTTATCTACATTTCGCGAACTGCTTCGTGCTGTTCGCGGGTTCGCGGGTGGTATTCGCGGGTTCGCGCACTTTTTCTGACGCACGACGTGATTTCTGCTTCCAGTACATGCGCTTCGGGATCACATCCACGCCTGAAGGAACATGAAAGTGTTCACCATAGAAACTTTTTTTCGTAGACTTTGTTGCTCTGTATTTGTCTTACTAGTTGTGTTACTCATTTGTCTAATGATCCTGCAGGTTTCTAAGTGTATATGCCGTCACTGGTACTGTGATTAATAACGAATCACAGTTACTGAGCGAAATTGCCAGTTCGCTGCCGAGCGAAATCACTGGATTGACCCCAACTGCCAATCAGCTGTTTCATCTGACGACGTTTTGACTAGGCATTGGCTTTCCAAACGCCGTGTCTCACAAGCCAAGCAAAATTGATATTTCAGGTTTGGCGCGAACCAATCTGTGTGTGGTGGTGGTGACTGAGGTGAGGTGAGGTGCGATGTACGTGTACTCGCACCTTCCTGATGGGTTTGACGCGAAAGTCTTTGGGGAATGATCATACTGGGGCCTCGGATTAGCAGAAAGATTGCCAACTTGGGGCCTCGTGATTCGCGACCCTACGAAGAAGGCCCGAAGCAACCTACAAGCCTAGGCAGCTAGGCCGAGCTCGCCAGGTCACCACCTGCTGGCTTGGGTTTGACGGATTTCGCTAGCACCCTGGTTGACGGGAGGAGCCCTCGTCAGCCCATTCACAATGGGCAGTACAGATACTTCAGCGAAATAACCCAAACTTTTAACATTATCGCAGTGTGAAAAAAATATAAAACCGAATCGAAAGGCATAAAATTAGTGAGGCATCAACCCTAAACACATGCGACAAGGTGTTTAGGGTTGATGCCTCCCTGACCGAATGCATGGCCGTATGGGGTTTATATTTTTTGCCAGCTTGTCCGTTCAGAAATCCGTCACCTCGTGTGGTCAGGTCTGACGGAGCGCGTTAGTGAGGCCCGAAATTGGTTAGAGACAGGTCCGGACCAGGTTCGACACTTCGCGAAACACGAGGCCCCAAGTTGGCACTCTTTCTAGAGCTTCGGGGCCCCAATCTGATCATTTCCCAAAGTCTTTCTCTCCCTCCCATCGTTATTGCCACGTGCGCCAGTGCCTTCGTGACCTTCCCTTCCAGCATCTCGAGACGTGGAGGTTGGGCCAACGCGGCTTTGTGCAATTTAGAGGGGCGCCGTGCGGTAACAGAGCTCTATTTTACTACACAACATTTTCACCGCAACGAAACCAACCAAACCCAAGCAACACAACATTGGAATGGGTTTCGTGTGATCTTCAATATCTGGTGGAATTGTCAGACAGGAGGGAGCTTCAAGTAGGCTTGTTGAAGTAGTTTGCTTGAGTGGGCTTGTTTGGGTAGTGCGGCTGCTGGAGAGGAAAGGAGCAAACCAGCAAAGTTGGCCTTCGCTGGTGGCGTAGTGGTGGTGTCCTTTTTCGCCGTCTCTGCTTTTCCAGGGAGCCGGGAACAATGGCTGCTGCCGGGTGGCTGGATGTCACCAGTAAGTAGTACGACATTGAAGAACATCATTTGAGTGCAAAGAATGTTAGTCTGTCTGCGGCACTGACTTGACCTAGCTGTGCATGTCTGTCACATTAATGGCTGCGAGATTTCCATGCTTCAGTCTCCTCAGGAAACGTTCACCCTGATCGACTGTTTGTTTCGATGACGATCTCATTACTTGACTAAGCGTGCGTATTTGTATGCAGTAATTGGTGCGAGGGATCTCAAGGACACGGAGATCTTTGGCATGCAGGATCCGTACACGGTTCTGACGTACGGTCAACAGACTCACCGCACCAAGACCCACAAAGGTGACGACATGAAGCATCGTTGTATTGTTAGAGTCTCTTTTTTCTTTTTTTTTTTCGAGGATGTCTAACTTTCCCGTTGTTACTGCTGGCCTTTTCCCTGAATAGAAGGAGCATTGTTGTGGACTTCCTTGAAAGCCATCCGGCGTTAAACTCTAGGCCAATTGATTCCATACATTCGGCGAATGCTCTTTCGTCGTATTTCTCACGCGTTGTAGACATACGCCCGATTCGGAACACGACCTTCCAGCAGTCGCATTTTTTCCATCATATGTCTTCTACATCATTTTCATGTCCATTGTTTCCTAGACGGACACACGTCGCCGGTGTGGAACACGACATTCCGCCTTAACGTTATCCATGGCGTCGACGAGGCTCACTTCGCGGTCTGGAACGAAAACAAGAAGGCGGATGACAAGATTGGGACTTGCAAGTAAGCTTCCCTTCAAGCCATTTCATTATCTTTTTGCGTTTCCCGCACTTGCCGGTCTTTGTCTTGTTACACCTACATGTTCAATCAATAGGGACGGATGACGACAGGGTTGGAACCCACAAGTACGCATTTTGCCTGACAGCTCATTGTTGTGGGTTTGTTCACGCTATATCCCGGACTTTTTACCTTTCGAAGGTAGTCAACCGTTACCACTTCGTATGATAGCGTACATGTTTTGCTTTCTTAAGCGAAGGCCAGTCAGGTCATTTTTATTTCACTCCCCCATGCGGAATGATATGAGTTTCAAGAAGCACCCGTTTATGTCCACTTCCTACAATCCGTGCCATGACATTCTCAGGGTAAACATCCGACAGGCCTTCAGCTATCCAGTGTGGGACACGTGGCATCCGCTCTTCACTCCCAAGGGCAGGTCAGCCTGCAAGCATTTTCCGCTCAAATTAGAAGCATTCGAATTTATGATACCATCAGGGAAGAAGAGGAAACAGAGGGTAGTGATGCCATTCACATCCAGATAAACATCAGGAAAAGTTCTTTGGTTTCTATTTTCCTGGCTTACTATTCAACTCTTTTCTTTTCTCTGTTCTTTTCACTCTCGCTTTCCTCCCTTCCCCCTTTGCGATTTTTTTTTTGCGATTGCAGGCAGCAGGGGAGTCTTCGTCTTGCTATGAAGTACTACCCGGTACGCTCACCTCCTTACCCACTTGAAACCATCGCTTGTGTTACTTTCACTGTCTCCTGTCTGCACTCGTCCCTCTTTTGATTCGTGCTCGCCTACACCTTCTCTCTTTCGCTGTCCTTTGTGGAAGACGTGTCAGTATCTTGTAACGAACCAGGAATTTCCAGCGTTTTATTCCAGTGATCGTTTCAAACACATCAACATAGGATCAGTGTTGCTTATGGGTGTTGCTTAGCGGCATTGTTTTTCAGAACCGATTATCCACAGTGGCATGTCGATCACCCATTACCTCTCCCGCCCCTCCCCTCCCCCCTCTTACCCCCCTCCTTCTCCTTCCTTCCCCCACCATCTCAGCCTGTTGGTGCTCCTGGCGCCCCAGCAGCAGCGGCAGCTGCCTCCTCCCACGCCGCCCCTCCCCCTCAGGGATATCCCCAACAGCATGCTCCTCCCCCTGGCGGCCACGCGCCTCCCCCTGCCGGCCATGCTCCCCCACCGTCCGGTTACCCGGGTTACCCACCCCAGGGCGGTTACCCCCCTCAGGGTGGTTACCCTGGCGGACATGCCCCTGCCCCCTATGGTGCTCCCCCCCCTGGCGGACACCCCCATGGCGGACACCCCCCTGCGCCCTATGGCGCCCCTCCCCCTCAAGGCTACCCGCCCGCCCCCTATGGCGCTCCTCCCCACGGTTACCCTCCCCAGGGTTACCCGCCTCAGGGTTACCCTGGGTACGGTGCTCCTCCTCCTGCCCACGGGGGACATGCACCTCATCAGGTGCATCATGCTCCTAAGCCGGCTGTCGTGGTGGTGCATGGCCATGGTGAGTTGTGGTGAACTGAAAAAGAATGAAGCAAAAGATGCATTATATTCCTCCCCCCCCCTTTCTCTCTCTCTCTCTCTCTCTCTCTCTCTCTCTCTCTCTCTCTCTCTCTCTCTCTCTCTCTCTCTCTCTCTCTCTCTCTCTCACTCACTCACTCACTCTCTCACTCTCTCTCTCTCTCTTTCTCCCTCTCTCTCTGTCTTTCTCCCCCCGTGCACGTGTGGATTTAGATCGCACCCTCCCTTCCCACCCATTCCCCACACACACACATACCTGCATGTTCATGGTCATATGCACACAATTCTGTATTTATTGTTCCGTTGTGTAGTGTTGAAATTCACTTACAAGTTTGTTAGTTTGCGTGAATCACACTCTTATCACTTTTTGTGTATTTTTGTCGCTAGTATTCCTTCGCATCAACTGTAAACATGGTTCATGGTGTACAGTAATCAGCCTCCCCCTCCCAATTTTTGCTTGGCTACACAGGCCACCACCACCACCACCACAAGCGCAAGTTCAAGGGTGGCTTCTTGGGTAAGCGGAAGGGTTTCTTGGGTAAGAGAAAGGGGTTTTTGGGGAAGCGCAAGGGCTTTTTTGGAGGCAAAGGCTTTTTTTGAGCTAGTTTTCACCTGGCGGGTGGAGGGGGTTGCATACTACATTTTTGGTGCGGTAGCAGCACCTGCTTATGTTACTTCTATGTTTAAGTGGCGCGAATCATTGGCTTGTCAGCCTGACTAGAGTGCATGTAACAGTCTACGGTATAGCTGAAAGAATTGAGATGCAAGTGGGGGTGTAGGCAGTGTCTCTGAAATTGGATATAAATCAGGATGTGTCATGTGTGAAAGGCTAAACATTGTGGCACTGGATGTACGTAGATAACATTGGGTACATTCATCAGTTCAACTGGGTTTCTAGGGAGTTGGAAGTCTTCTTGTCACTATTATTTTTTTCAACAGAAGCGGTACAATTTCTACGGATAACATTCAATAACACACAGACGCTCACACACACACACATACGCACACACACACACACACATGCACACACTATAATAACAATGAATACACACATTGCCACATTTATAACAGTGATATCAGGTATGGTAAAGGAGAAAACAACGCTGTCTGAAGAGTGCCGGGCGGCCGGCTGCATGGTGTGAAGGGTGGGAATACTACCAGCATCTAGCCGCCAGATTACCAACACATTGCCAAAAGGTTGTAGCAAGCCCAGGGAGAAAATGAAAATGCCTGCTGAACGATAAGATCCCATGCTGCAGCTTCGGAGTGAAGTGAAGACAATTCAGCCTGTAATCTTGTCAAGGACTCTGCCTAGTTGGAGCAACCAGCAGCCACAGCGTAACTCTGGAGGCACAAGGTACAACCCGCAGGAGGCTCTGCAGTGTTGTGGGTTCACTACGGGCTTTAATTATTGCAAGAGGGTGCACATGGAAATGGCAGCCATGACTGCTGCACGGACTCTGCTGCACCATTAGCGGGAGCAATACGGTGCGGGCTGGGCTATGAACAGGGTGGTACGGTGTGGGCCAATGCGGTTGACAGCAGGCTTCAAACAGCGGTACAGGGAGCATGTGTAGAGTGCAGGCGCGACTGCTGAGCAGACTGCAGCCACACCAGTGCAGCTTCGGCTTTAAACAGTGCAGTACAGTGCGGTCCAGTGTGGTTGACAGGCTTTAAATAGTGTGGTAGAGGGCGCATGTGTAGAGTGCAGCCATGATTGCTGAGCATAGTGCAGCCACACCGGATGGAGAGGCCTCCTTTCTCAAGAAACATCGTTCAGCTGCAAGCGTGGAGGGAGAGAGAGAGGGAGGGAGGGAGGGAGGGAGGGATTGAGGGATTGAGGGAGGGAGGGAGGGAGGGAGGGAGGGAGGGAGGGAAGGGGGAGGAAGGGAGGAGAGGGAGGGATCGAGCGAGGGAGGGAGACGGAGGGAGGAGATAGGGGAGTTATAGCTCTTTCAGGATGGGAGCAACGAGGGTGGGAGCAGTGAGGGTGGGAGCAGTGAGGGTGCGATTAGTGAACCGCACGTACTGCAGTCACGCAGTTGACAGTTTTCCTATCTGTTTTGCGTTCGTTTCCTCGTACTAGCTTCCCTCTTGTATTATTCCTTTTTTCTCATCGTTTGGAGCATACGCTCGTTCAAGTGCCTACCAAGCACGTGGTTTTAACCAGCCACCATTCATTCATTCATTTATTTCGCATTCGTTCGAGAATGTACCACTCCTGCTCAACATACCTACCGTGTATCATACACGCACACGAGCTTACAGCCCCCAGTGGCTCCTCACCACTCTGTACCAATCGACATCACTTCGAATCAGTCCACACCACTCTGTACCAATTCAGACCACTCTGTAACTCACCCGACCACACCGAGACGCCAACAGATGCCCCAAGGCCAAGCACGTAGGAGTCAAATCCGTACCGAGTTCTGCAAAAGAGGCAAAAGAAACGGAAAGAGCAAAGACATCATATAAAAGAATGGAAGAGACAAAGCACTGGGAGGATGGATAGGAGCGGAGTGTGAAGGTGCGTACTCAAGATTCACCCGCAATGGTGTTCCTTTCTTTTCTTCTGTATTCTTTTTTCCTTTCGGTGGGTGCATATGATCAGACTGATTCTTTTTCCGTAGTGGACGTAAAGGCACGAGTGAAACTTATAGCGCGTACGAGTTAAGACGAAGGGCCGAAGCGATGAGCAACGAGGAGAGCCCAGCGGCCGTGCGGAGGAAATCCGGCGGCAGAACCTTCTCCTTCAACCCTATAACGATACAGTAGCACGCGTGTAACGCGGCAAACGCCAGGCTGAGAAACGGCAGAGCGTCAATCTGACTGTACATTCGCCGGTTGCCCTCATCCCCGTCATCCCCGCCGTCTCCCCCGCCGTCGCCGCCTCTCCCGTCGTCATCGTCCCCGCCTCTTCCGCCGCTGTCCCCGCCGCCTCCGCCCGCTTGTTCCTTGATTTTCTCTTGTAAGGTTCTCATGGTTTGCTGCTCCATCATGGCATTGGCCCACGGCCCGTATCGGGTATCGAGGAAGCTTGAAGCGGGGTTGGATGTGGTCCCATGCGGATGGTGAGGCACGAGAACATCCGGGTCTCCCTCGTCGATTCGGAAGCACGTTGGGGTCCCAAACCTGTGGGGAACTCTGGTGGTTCGAAGTGCAATATCGATTGGCTGTCGTCGTTGTGATTGAAGCAGCAGTAGACTCGGGCTGGACTGCCAGTGATGTTCCGCTGAGGAGTTGGAGAGGAACAAAGAGGACGAGTAGAGGAAACGTTCGGTCGGTTGAGCGTTGCTGCTCGAGTTGATGACTGCAGGAGCCGGGACGACTGTGGAACAATGTCTTTCGATTCGACTGCAGCCGGTTGACTTGGAGTAGGTTACAGACGCCGTTGCCATTGAGTGGGTCACGGACAAAGCCGTTGCCATTGCGTCGGGGTTAACTTATGTACACGGGGTTGTCTTCAGGACTATCAAATAGAAAACGTGCACGTGGTCTGCACGTGGCTTGTCACCTCTGCACGTGGTCTCAAGTCTTGAACAATGACTTCAGGTGGCCACAGGCTGCAGCAGAGAGCGAAGCGTGAGAGAATGTGACGGAGCAAGTGAAGCTCGAGTCTCGAATAATGAGTTCAGGCGCACTCAGGCTGCAGTCGACTCAAGAATGTGCACGTGGCCTCTGTACGTGGTCTCGAGCCTCAAATAATGGCTTCAGGCGCACAAAGGCTGCAGCCGAAAGCGAGGCGTCAGAGAAGAGGCGAAATGGGTGAACCAGTAGCAGAAGCAAAGACACACGGCATGAGCATGATTACAGGCTTGGCTTCCGTGCTTCTAGAGGGAGAATAAAACTTTGCCTCCTTCCTGTTGCTCGCTTGCAGTTGCGAGCCTGAGAGCGCTCCGGTGAAGAGACGTTCTTATCGCCTCGTCACGCTTCTGGAGAGCCGGACTTCAGACTGCTCGATTTTAAAGAGTCTGGTGACGAGCACGAGCTCTGAACTGCTCTGCTTCCCTGCAGAAATAGCTTTCGGAATCACCGTGTCCTGACAGTTGTTTGTGAATTCGTGCTTTGTGCGACCCACGTCAATCCAGCAGCGCCGACTTCCAAGAGCGGCAACGAGCTACAAGACTGGGGAAACAACGATAGAAGAGCTATGGAGAAACTCGTTGCTGCTGTTTCCAGAATGTGTGCCTATTCCAGGAGCAACTGCTTTATGGCGGTCATTTGGGTTGGATTCGTCGTCAAAACTTTTCTCTGCTCTTTTGGTTGGGAAATATGGAACGGCTGAGTTTGGCTCAAAATCCAAACCAACCAGTCTAAATCTTGGAGAAACACCTCTTGAAGCGTAATGGATCCTACTGTACCATACTGTTGTGTCAAGCCCTGACACTCCGCGATTGTTCCGTGGGTGTGAGCAATTTTCTTGGGCTCCCCCCAATCCCTTGGTTTTCTGCCTTACCACAACCGAACCGAGGCAAGATTGACAATGAACCTCGAACGTCAACTTCGAGAACATCCCCCACGAAGGATGCCTGCCGAAGCACTGCCGAACCTGCCGAAACTGCCGCAGCTGTCAACTCAACAAACAGCTGTGCACTTGCGCCTTCCCCCAATCGGGTTCCTCAAAACCGACGAACCTGCCTTCTGGCACTTTCCGAGATAATCCGAGCCTGCAGATAACAACGATTGGTTGAAATTAGTGGTTCGAGCCGAGCCTGCCCTCTCGTAGAATGACTACAGTGTTTATCGGCGGCTCGTATCACGTAGGGTTTACAGAAGTGTAGCTTTACGGCATGGAATCCGCCCCATTCTTGACAAGACGTTTCCAAACTCCGCAATCTACGGCTTCCAAAGACATAACCGGCGCCAGCGTGGAACACGAGCTTGCTGACCGATAATCCCAGAAACTGGTGGGAGATGCTGCCGTCAACGGGAAAGAAAAGCCGTCGTTCATGGAAATGTGACGCTGGAGCGCAGGGTATTGACGTGGCATATCAGTCCCGACGGCATAACGGGGACGACAACGTGACAAGCCCAAGTTGATGAACAGATTTATAGGGTACATCTCGTGCACAATCACCAATATATTCATGAGAGCCGATTGTAAGGAAAATTTTTAATCCCTTACTGCGCAACTGACCTCACCGCATACAACACTATTCACATGCTTGGCCATTCTTAGTCCATTACCGGTTAATGGTGTTAGCCAGCCACCGCACGCACTACTTTTGCCAAAACTTGCACTTTTGTACAAGGCCGACTCGGCCTGGCCTACGCACCTAAATAGCCAGAACCTCGGCACCAGCTCTGCATAGGCTAGCTCGTGTTGGGCTGAGAGAAGCCCTTAGGATCTTTCAAGGCGAAGACTCTTGATAGAAGTATTGTAATTACGGAAACGTTTTAATAACAAGGTTTGAACCACCTTGCGTTAGTATGTGAGGGCAAGATTGATTGATTACAGAAGGTCATATAAGCTTTTTATAAGATAAAAAAGGATATGAAAGGATGCAATAACCGTTTTACTGTTGCTGTTGCGGTTTGATACAGTGACGACTCGGGCAACTGCTCAATATCGAGTCAGTTGTTTGTCCTTGCTGTCGCGCTGTACTTGTCGAGTCAAAGGTTGCCGACCTTTGACCTTCGCGTAACCTCCGGCTGTTACTTTTCTGTCAACCTCCTCGGTTGACTCGCCGTTGCTGCGCTGTGGTTCGACTCGTTTACTGTCTGATGTTACGACACACAAGAAGCGTTAGATTACTTGTTTCCAACACTCCCCTTCGCTTTTGGAGTGTCGTTGCTGGTGACGTGGCCTTGTCCAGTCAGCAGCATGCAATACTCGAACTTCTGCTTTCCAAGCTTCTTGGTCAAATAGTCGGCTGCCATCTCGGACGTGGGGCAGTAAGATAGCTCGAGTCTCCCCTTCTCGATCTCGTCTTTCACGAAGAAATATCGCAGGGCGATATGCTTCGTCCGGTTCGCGAACCCGTTCTTGTTCGCTATGCGAATTGCTGACTGGTTGTCGCAGAACAGGGAGAAGCTGGGTAACTGGGCTAACTTCGCTTCTTCCAGCAGTTCGCGAAGGCATAGTCCTTCCTTGGTGGCTGAGCAGAGTGCAATATATTCTGCTTCGGCTGATGAAAGGGCGATTAGTTCCTGTTTGCTCGACTGCCACGAGATAGGTCCGATAGGTTCGAGCCGGTAGATGTAGCCGGTGCGTGAACGCCTGTTGTTGTCAAATGATATATATGTATGATATATATTGGTAGGCTGTAGTGGGGTAGATGTTATAGGGGATAACACTTTGCAGGTTGTGTTATCTTGTACCAAACTCTCCATAGTGAACTCAACCTTGCCTGATTCTCTCGACATGGTATCAGAGCAGGTTCCTAGACCTAAGCTTAAGGGCCCACCATGTGCTAAGTTACCTCCCCAACGGCCTACCTGCCTGCCTTGCATACGTATCTGCCTAGCCTCCTGCCCGCGCGCGCCTCGGCTGCGCGCGCACGCCTTTTTTTTTTAGCGCGCACAGCTGCTGCCAGCCGCGTCGCGCCCCGTAGGTCGCTGGTGCAGCCCGCCCTGAGCCCGCGCGGCCCGCAGCTGCCCTGCGCACCGTCCGTGCAGCCCGCGCCGAGCCCGCACGGCCCGCACTGAGCCCGCGCAGCCCGCGCGCAGCCCGCGCCGAGCCCGCGCGGCCCGCACTGAGCCTGCGCAGCCCGCGCGCAGCCCGCGCGCAGTCCGCACGCGGCCCGCGCACCGCCCGCGCAGCTCACGTCGCGCCCCGCCAGCCTACACGCGGCCTGTCACAGAACTGCGTGCTTCCTTACCTGCTACAGTTGCCTGTTGCCTGAGCCTGCAGCCTTTGCCTGCTGCCTGAGCCTGCTGCCTGAACCTGCAGTCTTTGCCTGCTGCCTGAGCCTGCTGCCTGAGCCTGCTGCCTGAGCCTGCTACTTTTGACTGCGCTGCAACCATGGCGACCCTTACTGTTCTCGCCTTTGAGCCTGACGGCCGCCCCATCGAGTTTGACACCTGGCTTAGTGACCTGCGCCTTTACCTTATGACTGACGTCGCAGACGGAGTGTCACTGCTAGCCTATGTGACCGGCACTGTCCCTACTCCCGCTGAGACTGCTCCTGCCCCTGAACGAGCACAGTGGGAGCTCCGTGATGCAGTCGCGCGCCTTGTTATTCGCAATCACCTACCGATCTCTGAGCGCGCGCATTTCAACCAGCTTAAGACTGCTAAGACGCTGTATGATGCTGTCGTTGCCCGCTATTCCGCCCCGGCCACAGCCACCGTTGGTAGTCTCATCCTGCCTTACCTGTTCCCAGACTTAGCCTCGTTTCACACTGCTGCCGACCTTATCACTCACCTCCGCGCTAGTGACGCCCGCTTTCGAGCCGCTCTTACCAACGAGTTCCTCGCCACGAACACCCCCCCGCTGTACTTCACCCTCTACATCCTCGTCACCCGCCTCCCTGACACTCTTCGCTCTGTCAGGGATTACTTCCTTGCCAAGGATCCTCCAACTATCACTCTGGACGACTTCGAGCAGCAGCTGGTCGCAGCAGAGAAGAACATCCTCGCTGTCGGTGCTGCTCGTGGCACTCCCCGCACTCCCCTCTTTGAGGGGTGCTCCCCCTCCCCTCTTGACCCCTCCTACGCCTCTGCTGCTACTGCTGTCGACTTCCTCGGTGCGGAGAAGGTCGCAGCGGCTTCCGCTCCTGGTGGGAAGCGTGGTGGTGGCAGGGGCGGCAAGGGTGGCAGGGGTGGCGGAGGTGGCGGTGGAGGGAGCGGTGGTGGAGGCGGCGGGGGTGGTGGAGGTGGTGGGGGTGGCCGTGGGGGTGGAGGCGGTGGGTGGGGTGGCGGCAGGACCGGGGGCGGTGGAGGCGGCGGCGGCGGTGGTGGGGGAGGAGGCAGCGGCAGTGGCGGTGGAGGTGGGAGTGGGGGTGGATCTGGCCAGAAGGGTGGCCAGCAGCAGCAGCTTCCTCCCCTCACCTCCCAGCAGCTCAATGACTGGTATGCTGGTGGTGGGGCGTCTCGTGGTTCTGACCGCTGCCCCTATGTCATTCGTACTGGCCCCCGCAAGGGTCGCCCCTGCAACGGTTTTCACACTGAGTATCGTTGTTTTGCTAGGCTTAGTGACGCCTGGCGTACCAAGTATCCTGATGCTACTGAGTTCCCCAACTGGGCAGAGCTGCTTAGGCGTGATGTGCCTATCTTTGATCTGGACTATGATGTTATTCTTGCTGCCATGTATGCATTGACTGTTAGTGCTGAGGGTGACTGCTACTTGTGTGTGCCGCCTGACCCTGGTATTGACCCCGGTATAAGGGCTGCAGCCCTAGGTGCTAGTGAGTCTGCTCCCCTTGGTACTGAGTCGGCTCAGGCCTTGCACACGTTT